GCTCAATTATATATCTTATTAGAGAGGAGTGACTGTCCAGGAAGACGAAAGAATGCAACGAAAAATGAACGGTGGCCTTTATATGCCACAGACCTGGCTGTACATGACATCAACCCTGCCTCAAAACAGTAATCCGATAGAACTTTTATTTTTCTTGATAATTAAACGATCGGGTAAGATAATTGTTACTTTGAATATAATAAACGTCAAATTAATGCAGTTTCTTAATACTTTACGTCTAATATCACTTTCATAATACGCGATTCATAACTCGAAAATTATTAATAAGGTTTATTAACATATAAAAATATTTATCTTTTAGCTTTAATATATTACCTATCATAGTTATAAAAGGTTCCCGTAAAATGCACAAGTATTTATAAAAAGGCAAGTGTTAAATACTTTCGCGGTTATTTCAAAAGGTTTTTAATACTCATGACGTTAATTATAATACCCTTAAATAAACTTTTCTTTTTAGCTTTTATAAAACTGTATATATAATAACAACTTACTAGTAAATAAAAAGCGCGATTTTTACGCCTTAAACTATATAAATCTAATTTTTAACGGTCTTTTTTCCACTTAATTACCTTATATTTTAATAGGTTTATCACGTTTTATTACATTTTTCGATAGTTATAAATACTTTTATACCTTTAAAGTTTTGAAAATAAAGCACGTATAAAAAAAAACGTTTTGATTAATATTGAAAATTTGAACACTTATTCTTTTTTATAAAAGATAATCATATACGTTAATATAAAATATTAAAAAACCCTTTCACCAAATACATATTAACAGTTATAAAAAGTTTGAAAATATAAGATAAAGACTTTTTATTATAACTATTAATAGTTAGATCGAATAAAAAAAAGGTAACTTTAAATAAATGAAACCTTATTTCGATAATAAGCCTTTAATATAAATATAAACTATTAACAATTTATAATAAAACATTTACAATATTTATTAATAGATTTTATAATATATTTGTTGGATCCATGCGATTCCAGACTGCAAACCATCTATATCAGGACCCACATGTATGATTAGATAAGATAAGATAGTGGATTGAGAGGGCACTTGGCAAGACCTTCGAGTCCAGCTAGATTCCTCTCAATCCAACCATCAGCAACATCATGACCTTGACCCCATACTCGAGTATTATGATTGATCGTTCAAGCCTGTTCCAACAATATTGATTAATAATTTAATTTTAAGCTTTTTATTTAAAAAGTTTACCTTTTAAATTTCTATTTTACTTTATTTTATAGAAACCGTATACAATTCATACCTTTATTAAGTTTCTAAAGACAATTTAAGATGTAAAGACCAACTATAACTTTAACCTTTTCGCGGATTTTATAGTAAGATTAAAACTACTAGCATTTATTATAATTTATGAATTGAATTGAGTAAAGATTAATTTTTATAAAATGAATTAAATCTTGGTGAAATAAATAGCCTAATCAAATTCTTTATAAAATTTATTTTAATATTTAATATTAAACTTTTTATTATTAAACTCATTAAATTTACGGCTAAGTACGTTTTCCTTTTTTAACTTTAATTCCATGTTTTACCAGTTTTATTAATTTAAATTAATTTACTTAAACTTAAAAAGATAAACGTATTTTTTGGTTGATTGAGTATTTTCAATCAAAGAATTTAACCAGTGTAAGATGTTTTTAAAAAAGTTCGTAAATATAAAAGTTTTAATTGTTATATTATCGTTAAGAAATATACCTTTAAAAGCATATCTCTGTTTAATGTTTGTATTACTTGCTTTAATTCTTTAATCACTTATAAATAAATAATAAAACCTGTTCTTTTCTATAAATGAATAATTTCACATATATAATTATTTTGAAGGTTTTTATTAAAATACTAGAAATAGCTAATTAAATTTGTACGAGTACACGTCGGAATAGTAATTAAGCGGTAGAAAATATATTGTGACGTAAGTAATTTAAGTAATAATTTAAACGTTATTTGTTATTTCTTACAGTAATATTTTAATTTTCAATATTTCTATGATTAAAATATCCCATACTATCGCTAATGCTTATAATTCTATTAATCCCTAAAAAAATCCTTTAATCGTGTTCTAAATATTAATACCGTCAAGTTTAAGGCTTTAGTTAAATATTTAACTTCATCTTTTATAAGCCTATAAGTGGAGAAATAAGCCTTGTTTATATTCTGTTTGAAACGAAATATAGACTTGATAAATAACTTATTTTTATTTACATTTATTATATAAGTATAAAGGTTAACCGGTCTAGAAGAAATTTTAAATTTAAACGCTAAGATATTATCGTCAAAAAACGTTGTTAACAACTTTAAATTAAAATATTCGTATTATTACCGTTACAGACAGTTATAGTGCTTATTTTATTAAGGCGACGTATTATTCACTAGCTTAAAAAAATTAAAAAAATTAAAAAAAAATAGAAACCCTTTTAAACCTTTCTAATATTTTTAACGTTTTTAATATTTTAAGCATCTTAAATGTTCTAAGTGTTTCAGATAAATTAAACTTTTTAAAGGGTTTAAATGTTCCAAAATCTTGGAAATCTTTAAGCTTTGATCGTTTTAAAGCCCTTTAATAACGTAATAAAAGGCGTTAATTAAACGGATATAGATGTAATAATAAAGTAGGGATTTAATAACGGGTTGTATTTATTGCTTATATGATAAGCGTTTTGATTATTAATATTTATATAATTAAAATAACCGAAAATTTTAATAATAACTCCACACTTATTAATATTTATTAAAAATAAGTATTATTTAGCTTCATATTATAAATAGCTTTAATTCTTAAGCTTTAATTAAATATATGATATCATTATTTTATAAGTTATTTAAGAAATTATTTTTTCCCAGCTTTAAACGTAATAACTTTTTACCTATTAATATTCAATATATAATAAACGTAAGGTTTGTATTAACTTTTTAAACAGCTTTTATGATAATTATATCAAATATCTGAAACCTTTAAACTGCCATGGTCTGGTATAGGTAGCCCATGTGGTGAGTCCTGGAGCCCGGACATGAGTACATGTACCACCATTGAATTTCAAGCTGCCACGCTTGATATTCGACATCCTTTTGGGAGGAACAGCCGTGGCATGGTGGTTATGGTGAGCGTTCCGTCACAATAATTGATTTTTTTACGTTAGAATAAAAATCGTAAAAGGTATTGCTTTATATATATATAACGTAAAGTTACGTTTTTATTTATATTATTTGAAACTAATTAGAATAAATCAACTTTAAGACTTGTTAAATACATAAAGATTAGAATAAAGCCCACTAAAATTATAAAATCTATATAAAAATAATACTGAAACAATATGATTTTTACTAATAATAACAAGTATACCACATAAAATTGCAAATAATGATATAATATCTAATATATCTGTTCTATAACCATTTGTATAGGTTTTGTATATAATAAATAAATTATTCATATTTATATTTAAGTTTGTTTGCCTTCGTAAAGGATAAATTACAAGAGTACTCAGACTCGAACTGAGAAAGTGAAGGTTGAAGCTCCCTATTTTACCACTAAACTATACTGTTAAAAAAGCATATTTTTCGGAAAATAGCTCGAGCTGCTTATAAAACTACTATTTCAACGCGTTCCCTCACGGTACTTATTCACCGTCGCTTATATATTATATTTAGCCTTAGAGGAAGGTTCCCCTCAATATTTAAACAGATTTGTGCACATTTTACTTTTCAATATACTATATTTAGTAGAAGACAGTTTATGCGGGGCACTGACCTCACAAAGAGTAAATGGAAGTGTCCAATTATGTTCTATGTCTGTTTAAAAACGGATTAGTGATTATCTTAAAATATGAATATAAAAGATAATCGTTGAAACCTGATTTAAAAGTATTACAGATTATATTCAAACTTATATTAAAAGTATATATATGTATAAGAAGTATAATAATTAAATTTAATATATGTATATAAGGTTTTAAAATAAATTAAATAATAAAGAATTAAATATATGTTTTAACCTAGCGAAAATATTAAATATAACATATTAAGTACGGTGTTAAAAATATTATCGAAAGCCATAATAAAAAGTCGTAGAATATATAAAAAATCATCGGTTAAAATAACGGGGGTTTAAACATAAATATTGTTGAGGAAATAAAATTATAAATAAAAACTAACTATGCAGATAACTATAATGTTTTAAAAAATATTAAGCTTAAAGAAATGATGCATTAAAAATTTATATAATAATATTGATTATTATCTTTAACATAGGAGCCATTTTGTTTAATTTCTAACTAATGATTATGAATCAATTTAAAAAATCGTTTACACATATATAAGCTTATAAAGATGATTAAATTCTTAATAAACTAATAATAAATAGGAAACTGAAAAGATTAAATTTTAAAAAAAAAATATATAAGTGTTAAAAACAACTTGGTTAAAGAATTAATTAATACGTAATATTCACCTTAAATAATATAAAACGAAATGAACGATTATAAATTCATAGTTACAGAAAAAGACATTTTAATAATAATAAAATATAACGTTAACGATATCAATAAGGCAAATAATATCGTTAAAAATGCAAAAATTGAAGATAACATAAATAAGCAAACATAATAATAATTCTTAAAAATTTCTTCTTAAATAAGTATATTATTAAAGAAAAAAACTATAAAATTTAAACATAATATTTATATACGCAAACTTTTAATTATAAGTTTAATATATAAGTTATTATACGTACCGGGATTTACCTTTTTATTTAAAATAACGAGCCCGCTTACGAAAAAAAAGTACATAACAACCTTTCGTTCCATTCTAGACATTTTTCCTTCCGTTTAAAACGAGGGCATATAAGCCCAACATCTACGTTAACAACACTCGGACCATCTACTAGAGGGCAGCTAATGCTCTCGTGAGCATCATGCGAAGAATTGCCGTCCACAATCCTCGTCGAGTTCAGGACTTTAAGAGGAGACCGAGTCCAAGTGCTGCTTTAACGCTTTCAGCTTCGTATGTAGTTTGTTATCGTAGAAAGCAACCAGGTTACCTAGCTGCAGGTGACCTGCCAGTGACCATGCCTCGCCTGAAACACCCTCCATCAGGCGACCATCACTGAGGAAGGGGTACTTGTAATTCTCGATTAGAGGGAAAGCCATCCTTGTTGAGGCTTGCAGCGGTGTAAGCATGGGCAATGGCAAGACACACGAACGTTGGAGACACCCTATCCCAGGCCCCAGGGTACCGGTGGTGACCTCAACACCAGCCTCTACAATAGACAACAACGTTGTTACTACAGTTCGGATATTGCCCTCCTGGTAGCATCTCTCAGTTTAGAATCGAATTCGAGGGCAGAATCGTCTGAGATCTGGCGCTCAGACAGAAGGTGCTGCCCAAGGGCACGCCAGCGCTGAGACCGAACGGAAAAGGACCAAACAGATGAGTTACAGCTGAAAAAAGGAAATAAACCAGCGTCCAGGGCGCCAGCGAGAGGCCAGCTCATCAGCGATCCCTCACAAGCATCCAGGCGCAAACGAAGGAATCATCAGATTTCCTCTCACACAGAAGACGCTAGCAAGTGGGCGCCAGCGAGAGGGCGCTGGTACAGCCAAGCATTACGTCGCCCGCAGCTTCGTGAGGGCGCCAGCAGAAGAGAAGGCGTCACCAGAAGACGCCGTACCAGGGCGCCAACGACGACGAGATAGACGACGGCTCCGATAGAGCGCATTACCATCCCCCCCCTACATCTCGGACATCCCCACATCTCGTACAGCAAAACCCCACCACCACCACCTAAACCCTTTATGTTCACTTATATGCTTCCAGCCCGATATTGAAGCTATTCGGAATGTATTCAGTGCTCTAGGTAGCCCTGATCTTAAGGTTTAATCCATGTAGAATTTATCCCGCGCGGCCTAGGTAATTGGCTGTTTATTATCCCGCGTTTTCTACACTAAAGAGAGATTTTTGGGTTCTGGAGCCTCGTCTGAAGCCTTGTTCTGTATGCACCGCAGCATCGTATAGCCGCTTAAAATGCCTCACAAACCGTATACAGAGGATCAGATGGCAAATGCCATCTTAGATATCATGGATAAGGGCCTTCCGCTGCAAAAAAGCGCTCAAAAACATGGCGTCCCTGCTACAACGCTCTCTTACCGACTTAATGATAAGCCCTCAAAAGGTGAAGACCATATACACCAACAGAGACTCTCCCCTGCTCAAGAAAGCACTATAGCCAACTGAATTTTGCGTCAAGAGAAGCTAGGACTAGCCCCATCGCACGCCCTGGTGCATGAGATCATCGTGAAGGTGTTGAAAAAGAACGAAGATTTAGGCCCCCTTATAAACCACTTCATAACCGGCTTCAAGCGCCGCAACCCCCAAATAAAGACCAAAGTTGGCAAAAGGATAGAATCAGCGCGCTTTAAGGGCTTCATACCGAAGGCAGTTAACTGGTTCTTTGAAATCTTAGAGGATTACGGCTGGGTTAAGCCAGAAAACACGTATAATGTCAATAAGGGCGACATCATGGCTGGTTTTGATAATTATAACTAATCCTTTAAATCTGTAAAAATTTTATTAGTTTTATAAACATCAATTCTTTGATTTTAGGTAATTCTGTTATTAAGAAGGCCTTCTTAAAAAGCCCTTAAAGCCGTAACTAGACCTCCTTATTGAGGTCATCTCTGTAACTAGAAAAATCCTCAAACCAGGTATTATATTCAAGGGAAAGAACCTCCAGGCCCAGTGGTTCATCGAGGAGTTCTGAAAGACCGCCAATTGGCATTATATATGCTCAGAAAACGGCTGGACTTCGAATAACATAGCCTGTCAACGGCTAGAAGATGCTTTCGCAAGTAGACGAGATATGAGGAAAAGATCAGACTGAGCCTATTCTTTTAATACTAGATGGCTATAGTAGTCCTGCCTCCGTACGTATATAATTTTTGTTATTTAATATAGACTTCCTTTATTTCTTTCCTCATTTAATAAGGGCTAACACGTGTTGTAAGGACAAATTCATGACCATCTGTTACTTTGTCAACATATTGCTCTATTTCTTTCCTGCGCATACTAATCACGGCATGCAACCCCTAGATAACGGGCCCTATAACGCACTGAAGGCTCACTACCAGAAATTCATTTTTCAGCTAAATTCTTTGACAGATGCCTCGCCTATTGACAAGGTCAACTTCATTCGGTGCTATAGCCAGGCCAGAACTGCTGCTTTTATTAAGGTAAACATCCTCTCAGCTTCAAAACAGCTGGATGTTATCCTATCAGCCAAAGAAAGTACTTAACGCACCCAGAAATCCAGGAAGAGAAGCAGAAGACCCCTAAACCTGAGAGCCTGAAAGCTCCGAACCAGAGGGCTAACGGACCCCTACTACAAGCCGTCGGATCATGAATTTCGGCAAACATAAGTCACCTGGCACCTGGCTAAAATACAGAAAGATAGCCACTGCATTCAAGGCTAAGGAGACCAACCTTATTATTAAGAATAGGAAGATCAAGGCCATGGAGACTGAACTGGAGCAGCTACTATGCCCCACTCACCACTCGGCCACCCCCACCACTCGGACTGCAAAATCTACTGCCACACACCAAAACATCAACAACTTCACTTATACCGAATCCAGCTGTTTTTGAAGGGATTCGCGATGTAATTAGTTCGCTGAATAGCTCTTTTCTTGATGTTTACCCAATATAGATCCTTTTAGCCAGACCCGGCGATAAGGGGTCCCCCCGCCCGTGGTTTCTACCCCTCATAAGGGCAAATTTGCCCTTATGCACCCGTTCTCTTCTTCTTTTATATGCAACGTAGCATCGTGACTCTCGAAATGCCTTCTTATACAGAGGATACTATGGCAGATGTCATACTAGATGTCACCGATAACAAGCTGTCGGTCCGAAAATCAGCTCAGAAATGGGGTACACCTAAGCAGACGCTGTCTGACCGCCTCAACGGCAAACCTTCAAAGGGAGAGACGCAGCAGCCAAAAAAAAGACTATCCGATGAGCATAAAACACGCCTAGCCCAGTGGATACTTTGTCAGGAGTCTCTGGGGCTCACCCCATTGCATAGCGCCGTCAAGGCAATCGTTTAGGCTACCTCCAAGTTAAATGGCATCACTAAGACAGTTGGGAAGAACTGGATGGATGGATTTCTTCGCCGTAACCCCCAAATAAAAACAAAATCTAGCCGCAGACAGGAAGCCGCTCGATTTAAGGGCTTTACGCCGAAGTCTGTTAACTGGTACTTCGATCATTGTGAGGATTTTGATTGGGTAAAGCCTCAAAACACGTACAACGTAGATGAGGGCGGTATCATAGCGGGTTTCGGTATGGGAAAGCCCCTGAATAATCCCTGAATAATCCCCTGTTAACTTTATCCATTAACTAACCTATTTAGGGCTTGATGGTCTCGTTTTGGGCAGCACGGAGACAAAAAAGACCTTCTTAAAGAGCGACCAAGGCCGCGGCTGGACCTCTTTCATTGAGGCCATCTCCGCTACGGGCAAGGCCCTTACGCCAGGCATTATATTTAAAGAAAAAGATCTCCAGGCCCAGTGGTTCCTTCGGGAGTTCAGAGAGATTGCCCCTTGGCATTATATATGCACTGATAATGTTTGTTGTTTGTTTGTTTTGTATTTAACGTGGGGGGTAGCTCCTCAGTAGTGCAGACCACGCCTCCCAGAGCCTCTGCATCGCAGGGTTGTGGAGGTCTCAAGAAAATAAGTACAGTCAGTCCTGCTCACGGGCCCATCCCCGTTGTTGCGGCGGTATGACCTTGGGGTCATCCATCTGGTCCTTCAAGAACAGCTATCTATCGGAGACAGATTGTTAAAAAGAACTTGCTTTTCTCCACGAATTTTGCCCATTCTGTGCTCCTCTCCCCTAAGTATTGTAAACAAGCTGTCCTAGGCGAGTACCTAGGCAATAACCGATTTTTTCTTAACCTTTTACAAAAGAAAATATGTTGTGGTGTTTTCTTTTTACCACAGCTGCAGTGGTTGTTCGAGTCTGTATGCCCAAAGCGTTCGTGGTATCTGGCAAAGTCGCCATGTCCAGATCTGGCCGCTAGAAGTCTGTGTAGAGTGCTCCTCTTAAAGGATATAAGGCCTCTTTCAGTTACTGCATGTGAGTATACTTCTTGATACCTAGATTCTTGTTTGTTTGTTTGTTTGTTTTGTATTTAACGTGGGGGGTAGCTCCTCAGTAGTGCAAACCACGCCTCCCAGAGCCATTGCATCGCAAGGTTGTAGAGGTGTCAAATTAGATACATTCAGATCCGCGCACGAGCCTATCCTCGCTGTAGCGGTACCAATCTGGAGTGTTCAGATGGTTTTAGTCAATACCCAAGCACAATTCCGTCAGAAAAACCTCCTATCTAGTGACAAAGCGACCCAGTGAACCTCAGTTCTCTGGTGTACATAACGTTCCAGTAGCCGTTCGATATATGTCGCATTGGTGGGTGGAATAGGTGTTTGTTATCTGCTGGCGAGGGAAACCACAAGGGGGAAAACCTCGCAGGAGTGGGTATTGTGGAGACAAGCTGCTTGGCTATCGGGCTCTGCGATAAAATGGGGCCTCTCCACTGTCGTGTGCTGGTTATCGACTCGCACAAGCCGGGTCAGAAAGGGGGCCATAGCAGGATTCGAACCCACTTGTTCTCGTCGCCCACCGCACAACGAGAACACAACCAGGCGCATTTGACCATTGCGCCATACGGCCTACCTAGATTCTGATTGGTCTTTCTACCATTGATTGAACTCTTTCTTGCCCTTTCTTTTGAGATCTCTCTTAACCCAAGAGATTGTAGGAAGGTTTGTTGTGTCTGTTTCTAGCATAGCACCCTCTTTTGCTAATATATCGGCAGCTTCGTTACCATTAATATCTCTGTGTCCAGTAATCCACTTGACGGTCACTCCAGGAGTGTGCTCTGTGGCGAGTTCTTGGAATCGCAGAAAAATTTTCTGTGATGTCTCGGATGGAGTCCCATTGAGCCCATCCACCACTGATGTGTTGTCCAGGCAGACATATAGCTGTTTTCCGTGTCCAATTGCCCTGGCTGCTGCAAGACCTTGGAGAGCACCATATGCACTGATAATGGCTGGACGGATAACGCAGTTGTCGTGGAGTGGTTGAAAAGTGTTTTCCTCCCTCAAGCCAACTAAGTACGAGAAGATGACAATTCTGAAGCGGTAATCTTGATCCTTAATGGGCATAAGAGCCATACCTCCGTACGTATTAACTCCTTTATTTTTTTCTATTTTATTTCGCTTGAAATCCATAGATATATAGCTAGCCATTTAGCGGTAGGATGGATTTATAACCATGTGCTTCTTAAATAACGTTCAGCTTTGTTTTCTTCCAGCACATACCTCCCACGGGCTTCAACCACTTGATAACGGCCCTTTTAATGCCGTGAAAGCTGCTTACCGCAAGCATATCGCTCAGTTAGCTACTCTAACTGATGCTGCCCCTGTGGACAAGATCAACTTCATCAGATGCTACTCCAAGGCAAGGAACGACGGCTTGACGGTCAAAAATTGTCAGGCTGGCTTTAGAACTACTGGCAATTGGCCTATTAACCGCAGAAAGGCTTTATCGCATCCAGAAATCCAACAGGATAAGGCCGCAACCCCTGAGCCTGAACAGGTCAAAAGTTCAGAACCTGAAGACTTCCGGACGCCTGAAATAGCCGTCAAATCATGGATATGGGCAAAAACAAGTCCCTAACCACTCGGCTGAAGTTACGCAAGGTTGCGAAGGCCTTTGAGAAGCAATCAGGAGAGATAGTGCTAAAGGACCAGAAGATCGAGAGCCTGGAGGCCGAACTAGACCGCATGCGCCATAAAAAGCACAGAAAGATCCCCAATCCGAATAAATGCTCCAAAAATTTCCCGGATATTCTGGCAGCTAGTGAGGAACAGCCTCAGAGAGGCCGTAGGGCCGCGCAGCCTGTGGATATTGAAGATACCACTGATGAGGAGAAAGAGGATGAAAGCTCTGATTCGGAAGAAGAGGAGGAGATTGTGGCCACTAGGGAGACCCGTTCGAGCCGACAGAGTCGCCGGCCGGCTAGATACGATAACTAAACCGTCATAGACGAGTAGATTGCACATTTTCGCAGCCGAAGATACCATGAATTGACTGATTTCGCTGTAAGTGAAGTTGTTGATGTTTTGGTGTGTGGCAGTAGATTTTGCAGTCCGAGTGGTGGGGGTGGCCGAGTGGTGGGTGGGGCATGGTATGACCAAAGAAGCGGCAAAAGATCCCTAATCTTGATGGGAAGTTCAGAACAGTCACGGAGGTACTAAGTACGGGTGGTACCATCACCCCTGGTGCCTCTGCGGATGTACCAGAAGTTGTGGTTGATGATGACGAGGAAGAAGAAGAAGAAGACGAAGACTCGGCTGAAGAGGCCGCTTTGGAGGCCATACAGGAGCCTAGGCAGACCCGTTCGGGGCGATTCATTCGGGCACCCACTAGATATTACAAATGATCAGCTTCAGCGCTCTCAAATGATAATTTTGCTGGATTTCTCTGACCTGAATGACTTTTTTTACATGTGGGTGAATAAGGGGGTGTTTTGGTGGTGGTGGTGGGGTTTTGCTGTACGAGATGTGGGGGTGTACAAGATGTGGGGGGGATGGTAGCAGATGTAGCTGATTTCCATGACACATCGCAGTCGCTTCCTCCGTTTCTGGCCTCGAATTAGATTGATTGCTCAACGCGTCGCAACCTGGCACCTTCGCGTCATGGCATCATTGAGCCCGTGAATGAACTTGATCCCTTCATCCTGATCATTGTCGGCAGAGTTGGCAGCAGAGCGAGCTTGGCAAGGTGGCGGTGGGGGAGACAAGCTCTGACTCACCCATCTCGTCATCGCGGTTCATATTGGCGTTTGTACGCCCAGAGCCCGCAGTTGTCTGACGGCCCGAGTTGATGGTCAGCTCGCAACTGGTGACTTTGACCTCGTTCCCGGCCGCCAGCGCCCGGGAAAGTGGCATGTTGAACAGAGCCGGACAGTGGTAATTTCTGACATCATTGACCTCGCCAACATCGATGGCGGCCACGACTGCGAGCGTCACAGTGACATCGAAGGTGTCCATGATAGCTACAAGCGGGTACTAGCAGCAAATCAAGAAACCGAAGCCGGGGTGTAGCGAGTGGATAGTTTCCGTTTTCACCCGGGCAACAGCGCGTCGTTGGGGCCTAGGATCGATGTTACCGACTGGCCGGGGTAGCCAGAGGTGACTGCGTGGAAGGTCATGTGCAGGGCCGAGGCGTTTGAGCTGTGACGAGTTGACGGTGATCGACCAGACGAATAGGCGCTGGGCGAGTGACCAGAGGCGTATGATACAAACGAACCATCCCCATGAAGGCACTGCGCTAACCCTAACCCTAACCCCAATCACTATTCGGGGCCTTTTCCTCATCCTCTTCCTTGTCATGTTCTGCGAGGATGGACTAGACTGCCTCGCTCCACCACATGCATGATGAGGATGGAGACATTAATAACAATAATACCGCGTCGTTGGGCTCGCTGAGAAGGGTAACAGCGAATATGACAGCGAAACGGCAAAAGGACCTCTGCATTCCATCGAATATCTTGTGGAAGGCCGGACGAACTTCAGCCATTGAACTTTGGTACGACGTTGGAAGTAAGGACGAACGAGCGGGTGTAGCTCTGGTAGGTTGTCCTTGGTCAACTCAGCATATTTCGCGTCAAGCTCCTCAGCGTTGTTTTTCGGATCAATGAACTGTAGCAGGCTGTGGACAGCGGAGGACGAACCTGGGGTTTCCACCAGGGTTGACCGGAAGCAAGAAGCTGTGGTAGGTGATCTGTCCAGCGTGTCCTGCCAACGGATACAATAGTATCCGATCCCTTCACTTCTTGACAACCGCCACTGCTCTTTGTGTCCTGTGTTCTCTAGAATACCACGCTGACGAATCTCGGTTGACCAACAGATCCCACAGCATCTAGTCCGCGTTGAATACCTGACGAGAGAGCGCACGGCCGATTGTCTAAAGCTCATCGAGAGGACGAGCCACCATGCAGCGGTCAGGCTGATGCCCGCGAGCGAGGGTTTCGTCTCTTCGTGGTGGCGCTGCGCGGGTGAGCAAGGTAATGTTGACAAGGAATAACAGGTCGTTCGAGAGGTCTTCGTAGCTTCTGGCGCAATCCACCCCTCAAGCGGTACTGGGCCTACTAGACTCCTCCGATCGGCGGTCATAAGCACTATTGTGATCTGTCGCAGAACCGCCAGGTCGCGCCACCCCGTGGGCTCTGCTGCATTGCCAAGGCTGTCGACTACGCGCAAACACAGCAGGTTATCTCGTTGGGCGTGACAGGTCAAGAGGCTGGAAGACGCGACGACGAAGCACCACGGCGTTGGTCGATATCCCTTGGGCTCTTTCTTCTCAGGTTGCACCTCCAGCTCCGCGAGAGCGAGAATCATCGAGGCGATGTTATTGAGTCGAGCTGCACAAAAGTATCAGCAGCCTTAACTTTCTCGAAGAGCGAGCAGTGGTTATTGCCAGAGCCCACCGTGTGAGGCAGAAACGCACCCTCGGCCTCCATTTCAATTTCACCTCAAGAAGACATGACACTTCTTGGTGGGAGTCTTGGACTCGTTGTCGGACTCGTCGGCGAAAGCCTTGCTCATCTTCATGGATGAACGGCTGACAGGAGCCTTGGTTTGGCCGGGGGTGGAGCGCACGCTGCTCCACGGTGCTTGTGGTCTGTCACGGCGCAAACGACACCACCATTGCTGTACCAGCATGCACAGGGATCTCGACCGCGACACCGATCAGCCCAGCAACACCGATCAGCCCAACTCCCGGCCGATCTCCCGTATGGCCTCGTCCGCGACGCCGTACTTGGCCCACTCCGTAACCGCATAGTAAGACCGACGCAGCCAGAAAGTTCGACCCCTGATTGAAGAAGATAAGAACGAAGCATTAATAAAGTGTTTATTTTATGTAAAAATATAGTAGGTACTGATATACACGTTCTTGTCGCCGTGGAAGGTGTTCGGGAGCTCGACGATAGACCCGTCTATCGCCGGTAGCTTGAAGGTAGCTACGTCGTCCGTAACCTGTTTCTCGACATCGTGGAGTTCCTCGTACGCCCAGAGCGGGTTTCCCGGGTTGTAGATGTCGCTTACATGTTGTCGGATTGCCAGTTTTTCATCCTTCCACATACGGGGGTGGAGCTCGGGTATGTCAATGTCGGCCAAGCGGGCCACCACCTCACCGTCCATGGAGACGTGGTCATCCGCCCCAACTGTGAGGGTTCTGGGGTGCAAAGCGAGTAAATGTAGATCGAGCACCCCGTGCTATTGATATTTCATCAACGGCTGGACTGTTGCTTCGAGCATTTCTCCCTGGGGGCGATCTACGATCTCTTCGATGGGGTTCAAGCCGTGTTGTCGGGGTCCAACGCCGTGTCGTGAGGCTTTCTTTCTTCTTCTATAGGCTAGATAAGCAGATTCTGATGTCTAGGGCAGTCGTGGACAGAAGCTGAGCTGCAGGGCTTACCCACATGCTCTATCTAGGGAATGGCAACGTTGTTTGAAAGTGAAGCACGCGGTTGCTATGGTGACCAAAAAGATAGAAAAGAGTACCCCAGAACCCCGTCCTTGGGGATACCCCCAACAGTATCAGGGTCCTTCTTGACGATTGGTCGCGAAGTCGCACCCTCTGGTGTGATACAAGGAAGAATACCCAGGCTGTTTTTGGATCGATCAACGTTTTGACTCACGTCCAGGACAGCCATCTTGTGGTATATTGTGCGCCGAAATATCTTCAGACCACCCCATTCTAAAGTATCAGTGGAGGCATGGACAGTGCCGAACTTTTCGTAAGTCCCGTCATCAGCCAACCTGGGCCCTTGCGTCGTCACGAGCTGGCGGCCGTCGGCTCGAAATGCGTCCAGGACATGACCCGGTGGACCAGTCCAATCAGAAGACGCTATCGGTGTTGGAAACAGGAGTTCCGCTGAGCTGCAGAGCCTTCTGAGCTGCGTCGGCGTTGCCAAATGCCACCATTTCGAGGGAGCTGTTCGCAGGTCTACATTGCTTAGATCATCCACTAGAGATGGTCGAAATGCGCGATATTCGACGCCCAGTTGTACAGGTGGCCGGACAATGCCAGATTGGTAGTAGGTCTGATCATTGCCTTTGCTTGCTGCTATTAGCAAAATTAGGTGGCCTGGTAGACAATGTCAGCTCTAGAGTTTCAATAGGAGCGTTTCTGTTGCTTTCACATAACTTACAGTACAATTCCCATTCCATTTCATTTTCATTGAGCATTCCTTGCTCACCGATGCCCTGGTCTACTCGTCGCGGGACGAGCTCGGTTTCGTCCGCCATGAAGGAGACAACAGGGGTTCTGTCTGGGGCTTAGGTTAGGCTCAATATTTCGCTTGAAGGGGTGCCAGTCGTCGTTTACCTCTGGCCAAGTCAATGTTTTGCCTGATGGGGCCCTGGTATCATCGGGATCCGTGTCTGTAGAAGCGTTCGCCCGGTCCCAACAGGTATTCACCGTCAGCGGCCTCGGGTCACTCGCCAAGGGTCGGTGCGCCATGGCCTTGTACTCCTGGTAGGAGGGCTACATTGGTCAGCAGAGGATGTAATTATGTTGATGAAACCGACTTACTATCTGTTGTAGGCTGCGTCGGCAAAGTACTATCGACTTCGGCCTGAATCGGATCTGGCTTGGGCCCCAGTCGCTCGTCTGAGCGGATGTTCAACATCACACTCGGTTGTGGTGCGCTCCAAGCCAGGATCGCTTGGCCCCTATCCAGACTGTCAAGCAGTCATCGAAGGTCATGTCCGGGACAGCTCCTGGAAAGAAGTGCATGATTAATCTTTCCAGGCGTTTTCCACACTCCACGTCGTCGGCGAGAGGACGGCAGCCTTTGAAATGTTTCGAGCATCGAACATACAAGGACTTGAGGCCCCTTATTCCCCCCCCCATGCCTGAGTTTGCAATCAGGGTCGAGAGGTCGGTCAAGGCTTCGAGCGCTGGTTTTACCTTCCGAGGTCCTGAAGACGAGTGCAGAATTCCACAACGCATCCTCAGCTGTTGCAGAGTCAGACAGACTAGCATTGAGTCGTCAATCTTATCAGATCGTGCTTTGGTTTTGAGCTCTTTGATAGACATACTATGCGATCTGACATATTGAGACAGTTCCAAATAGATAGCGCGGTGTCCAATGCCCAGTTCGTTCGGCGTAAGTTCCGCATCGAATGCTGCCCGTTCCGTGGTGAGTACTGCTGGTTCCGTAGCGAGCGTTGCCTCTTCCGAATCAACGGCAGTCTTCCGAGCGTCAAGTTCGGCCTGCTCCGTATGAACCTGTAGACATGGTGCGAGGAGGAGGGGAGACTCGACGCAGGCAGTATATCCCAGGCATAGTTCATTCTATCTGGCGAACATATCTAGAAATTCTTGTGCGCGCTCCGCGTGGCGGAAGCTTCGCTTGTGTGTACGTCGGAGGCAGTCCAGTAGTCCACAATCGACAATTGCGTTACCAAGGAACGTGGCGGCGCTCTCTAGTGGTTGTCGCTCCGGGGAAAGTAGCCTCTTGCTGCGTCTGGGGTATAGGCTATGCGGCCAGCAATAAAGTCCTTTATGTTGGGAGCGCTACCTTCGCTCTGCCTGGGAGTATACCGGGATCTCTACGAGCTTGAGCTTGGCTTGCGGGTTCTCGCCAACGAGGAACACCTCGACAGTGCTCTCGCTAGGGTACCCGTGATGTCTGTACATGGTTGGAGATCCGATGCCCTAGGGAGTGTAGCTCACGGCCACGGCGTATCACCCTCACTGCCGAAGTCTTCATCGTTTGGTACAAGCTCCCGCTTGACCTTGATGCGGAAGCTGACTCGGCGGGTGCAGGAGGAGTGCTGGATGCCCAGCGCAAGACAATTACCTAGCGGTCTTGCCATAAGGAACCGCATAGCAATGTCGACGGCCGCAGCCCAGAAGTGGCGCTTCGCAGCAGTCAAGCCGACGCTAAAGCATCAAGGGCTTGGATGACAAATTTCGAAATATGTCGATGAATCTCACCCTGGTCTCCCACGAAGTCATCTCAAAGCATGCGCAAGTCACTCGGCACTTGCGGTTAACGCAGTCCTTCGTGGTACCCCCGCCTATATAGTTCGACAGTTCCGGAGCCTTCCCCGGAGCTCTTGTCTACTCGATGTATCGTTTACGTCGATGAGTATCGATTGCATCTTCGTGCCGGCAGGTATCAACGTTGCTTAGTCGTTGGCGTTGCTGTTGCTGTCTTTGCGGCTGGGATTACGATATCGAAGTCGAATGGTAAAACGATCGAAAGAAGAGTTGGCTTTCTCGAGTCGCGACATGCAAAGAATTGCAGTCGTTACGGCTCGCGTCAGCGGATTGACTTTCTCGTAGTCGATCTCGCTCCGCCAATAGTGATACGGCTCTTGCCCGTTCTGCAGGCGACGAAGATCAATCACCCATATCATCATCGACATCCATCTCGACAGGGACATATCCGTCCTCTTTCCCGTCCCCCTCTCCAATGCTAATCGCATTGCCATGTGCGGCCGGGCGGACTCGAATCACAGTGTTGTCGACGAACAACTCGAATCCCGGGTCGTTGGGACTTTCTGCTTCCACCCGGCGATAGCGGGCCGTAAGCCAGTCGTCGTATGCTGCGAACACTGGTTAGCATACGTCGAATGAGGTAAAGCAGCCTGAATGTTCGTGTCTCCTTGCATGGGCGTCTTGTATCGGACTACGGACCGTGTCGGTGAATGTCGACCGGAGCGGCCATAGGTGTGGTAACGCGGGCGATCCTGCCTTGTTGTCTGAGTTCTTGTCAATCGACTCCAGACTTGCCTGCGTCGTGCTGCCGCTGACCTGGTCGCGTTCGTTGGCAGCCGTCTTGTGGAGATTTTGCCAATGCTCATCACGCATGGCTTGGGCACCAAAGTGGTACACCTAGAAGGGCCAAGGATTTGGGTCATCGTCGGCATCCCGGCGGTGGACGTTGGTAGCTACTTGCGGCAGCTTTTTTGTTCGGAGATGGCAGCTGAGTGCCGGCATCATCACGGACTGCCCGGTCATTCCACGGAAAGGGACTTGCAGAAGCCAGCACAAGCTTTGATGACATCGTCCTGGGGTGGGAAGGCGTAGCGAGGGTTGAGGGGGTTCTGTCGAGGTAGCAGATGTCGATCCTTTGCTGCTTGACCTTGCCGGATATCGCGTCGATGGTGTCAGGCTTAGTAGTTGATGAGTGACGTGCGCGAGACAAGCAGCGACAAGCACAGGCTGGGAACTCCTGGGACGGTCATCCAGGCGCCGCGCGTTGCGTGCTAGGCGTGCGACATCTTGGCGGGCATGGCGGCATTAACAATGCGGTTGCCCAGGGAATCAGTCACTTACAGCGGGCGGTTAGCCGAAGAACAAGGAAGGGGCTGGTGTTCGCGGCACTGATGGCCACCGTGGTGACAGCATCGGCCTCGCAGGCAGACGGCTTCCTAGCCTTCTTAGTCGAAGCATGGGCACACTTCGCCTCGACATGCTCCGCTCTGATCTTTGTTATTCCTGCCGAAGACATGATGTCCCTTACATACAAGGATCGGTTGTTGTCTGGCACAATGATCAAAGATGATGGCGTATCCGTATTGGTGTCAGCAGCTTCCTAAGCTCTGTGCATCTGGTACTGTCACTGGGCAAATGCGATGAAGCCATCTCGGCGGTATGCTGGTGGTCCCGATAATGATGTGTCGTCGACACAGGCAACCTCACTGAAAGGGTCCGCATCATCCGACAGAGACCTTGAACATGAGCTGTCTGACTGGTCGCCATGCCAGAATATGTGAGAGAATCAATCGTCGTCGTGCTGGAAAATGTCCGAGAAGCCGATGAGTGATGCAAAGCTCTCTGGAGTCTCATCTGCGCCGAGTATCTTCCTCTTTGACTCGTCCGCCAACCATGACACTGGCACCAAAGCCATGCCCAAGGTAGCCGCAGAGCCCCAATCAGCAACCCGTTGATCCCATCGAACTCTGCCTGTCGCGCAGCCGCAAGCAGGGATTGCCGCTGGGCCAACAGTGTTGTTGCGGGGAGGCTCAACGTGGTCGCCGCCGGTAGGGTCCGCGCCCTTCTCAAGAAGCAGCTTCGCAACATCGTGCCAATCGGTCTTTGCGGCCAGATGAAGGGAAGATGACTGGGGCCAGGTTCAGGTCCTCACCATGGTTTGGCAGCTGGATAGTGTCTGCTGTGAAACAGCCTCCTGGTGTCCCTGCCACATGGCCGCAGCAGTTCGACATGAAAGCCTCCAGCACTTGTATTGTGTGTCTACGAGGATATTCTCATGTGTTCTGTGATCCGTACGCCTTACATACGTACCACTGCATTTCCCCGAGGCTTCCGAGTAGCTGTAGAGTCCTCATCAGCGTATAGTCTTGTAGAACTACTTGTTTCCCTTGCCCTTCGCCTCCGTCGCTTCTGTTTAGAGTTGTTAGAAGTCTGATCACCTGGTATAGTGTCTTTATAGGTAGACTTACCCTCGGACATGTGATGAAGTGCTCCTAGATGTGTTCCGGGACCCGTCTCGGGAGGTGCTCAGCGACATCAGCGGGTGCGGCGCGCGCCACTCACCGCGCTGTTGTCACGGCACTAGAAGACGGCCCACATCTGCAGGGTCAACCCCTATATACATCACATCATGTCTCCTAGCTAGCTTCATAGTTTCCTTTTTTCTTCACGTACATCAACAAAGTCATATCTGGAATCACCAGCAGTGGAACTGTGACGGCTGGTTCCGGTTGCGCGGCGGTACCCGCCATCGAGCTCCTCGTCCTTCAACTCGGTCATGTCGGGGCCTTCTTCTTTAGGCGAGTTGAAAACACCCCACAGCTCCAAGTAAAGGCTTCGGTACATATAGTTGCTCAAGATAACCGCGAAAAAGAAAGCTACCCCGAATGCGGTCTGATCCATCTCTGCGGTGTCTGTCAGTTTTAAGACAGCGTGGAAGCGCTTCTGGCTGATTGGGTAATGAAACTTACTGCCGGTCTGCTTAGACGAGCGAGAAGTTCTTGTATGCGATGGCTTGAGGGCTGGTGGATGGTGCTCTGCGGTTGTAGAGAATGGCGCGCAAGCCACAGTGGCGTTCAGGAGGTGGCAGTGCACTGAACAAGGCCAATAGGGGCCACCTAGCCCACATCAGATCCTTCCACATACAAGTACATCACGTATCATCACTGAATACGCGAACATCAACCATATGAACCATCATACACGCTGTTTGACAGGTGATCGTTAGTTCCAGCCATGTACCACGCGCTGTCGGGACGTAGGAGCTGATCTAGAGATGATTTCAGGCGATTGATTCCGCTCGATAAAAGCTTGCTTGAACACTTCTATCTCGGCGGCAAACTTCTAGTGCACCAGGAAGAGACGATGGCCGTCTTCTACAAGGGCCTTGGTAAGCAAATCAAACGCCAGGAGCGTCAGTGCCAGAACACATGGTTCCCACTTCTATTCAGTGGTCTGCCAGCTCTTCTAGTACCTTGCCGAGTCCAAGTTCTTTGGGCCGTTGTGGCCATTTCGGCGAAGGCACCCTCCATGCTGTCGAGTGGTGGCAGATTGAAATCAATACCCTTACCATCGGCCACGCTTGAGGGCGATGAAACCTCGCGGTCAATCCAGCGATAACCTTTGTTCAGAACCTCCAGACCGGGAAGAACCGACGAGCCATGCCCAAGGCGCCAGGCATTGTAGGGACGTTGTCGTGGGGAGCGTGGAAGGTGTCATCCTCGCTCAGCCGATCAGGGGCACTGGCAACCTTGCTCAAGGTCGAAGCGACCTTTCGTAGGATCTTACCGTCGTATGGGCTGTCATTGGACTTGCATCCAATGAGAGGGCGCTTATCCTCCGGGTTCAGGTCAACCAATTTGATGAAAGGATTGGCGTCAACCTTACCCCCAATTACCTTTTAAGGTCATGCAGGACCTGGCGGTTCCAAATAATTGGTTCGTTGTCGCTTGGCTGGTGTTTCTCAAACCATGTATCGAATTCTGCTAGGGAAAATGCTGCGTCTTCGTCGATATCTCGAGAGATGGACAACTGGAAGTAGTTGTGCAGATGGCCCTTTGAGCTGACGTGGGTCAATAGATGGGAGATGTTGGAGAAACTTGAGTTCTTGGGGCAGATGGAGCAGACCAGGTAAGCGCTTCTCGTCAATGACGAATCGCTTCTTGATGTCCACATAGACATGGCCGGAAGGCGGCAGTCTCATAAGGTGGTCCTTTGCCTGTTTGCGCCGAGGTGTGCTCGGCCTCCTTCTGGCGAAAAGCAACAGCTTCTGCAGAAAACAATGCGGCGCCCTGTCTCGCCTCCGTGGTCTTCTTTTTGCTCCCGTAGGATTTTATCCGTCGTACGGGCTGCCAGATTTGCATCCCATCAGAGTGTGCGTCTCCTCTCGGTTGGGTCAACCATGTCGATAGAGGCAGTGTCTCCTGCGACGTAAACTCTCCTGTCGACCAGAAGGATGCTTCCGACCATTTCGGGGCGCTGAAACGCCGCTCGTGGCAGCATCCACGGCTGACCCCTCGGAGGACGATCTTGGGCAGCATTGGTCGCGAGGCAGTGCGAGGATCTGGTTGTTGCCCCAGAACTTTTCGGCAGCATCCCAGAAACCTCTTCCTCGTCGTCCTCCTCTTTGTCGCGCATTGTATGTTGGGTTTTCAGGGCGCCATCCACGTGAACCCTGCGCAACCGCCGCATGGTCGTCAACACTTCTTATCTGTGGCGAAAGCATCGCCGTTGCGGAGGATTGGGAAGCGCACTGTTGCCCCATTCTTATCAGCATCATGAACGTATAACGGTCAAAGCAAAGCCCCTTATACGCAGCGACGGGCCTGCTATACGGCCCCCATTCGGACATTACGTTGACATGCTTGTTCCACTTACCGGTATTCTAGAATTCCGGCGCGCCTATCTTTGTCGCTCCATGCTGCGATGGTATCTCAATCCCCGAATGATGAATCACGGCGGATCTCGACGAAGACGGAGCCGAAGTTGAGGAAAGCCTTGGTAATGGCTGCCTCGAGAGCGGAGTCGGACTTCGCCTCCGGGAAGCTATGGTTGAAAAGTTAGACTGGGAACCATTGAGGGATTTCAGAGAACTTACTTGGCTACGAAGACACAGGCCTCGGGAAAGTAGTAAATCTGCGCGTCGACGCCTTCCACCTCATGGCGGTTCTCCGATCGGTTGGCTCGGGTAGTTCGAACGGGGGCTCGGACGTTGTCGTTATCGCGAATAGCATCGCTTAGGCGATTCAATACAATGATACCGACCCCCTCACCCCGACCGTAGCCATTGGCTCGGGCATCAAAACTGTGACTCCTGCCATCTGGGCTCAGGAAATTCAGGCCAATCAGGCCAGGCTGATTCTGGCCAGACCGATGAGGACCAGGACCGGGGAAACACCTTGAGGTAAAGCGGTCAAACCTTGCTGTCGTCTCTTGCCTCTCAGCGGAAGGTGGCGAGGAGGTTGTGAAGGGGATGGGGGATATGGGAACGGGTGGGAGCTGAAGCTTACCAGGAGTGGAAGCACAAGCACGATGAACAACTGTTTTGGAGGTTGAAAGCTCTTTCATTCCATTTTACTGTGCGATAACGCACGCAGTACCCCAGACCCAAACCCAACGCCGAACCAAACGACAAAAACGCCGCCCAATTCTCCCTCCTCCTCTACCCCAAGGTAGCCAGTGCTGCCCCATGCGACCCGAGAGCGTGTCCCGGTGGTCGTAACTGCGTCCACAGCCGCGGAAGGTGCACATATAGGGGACCCCATGCCCGTCGTGTGACTGGTCTGGAGGTACTGCTCGGCAGCATCGACCGGAGGCTTGTTAACCTTCTTGATATCGTACGCGATGACGCGCCAGTAGGGGTTGTTGCGGTAGTGCTAAGACAAATAAGTACTGCAGTCGAGACGAGATTAGGGCAAAGTACAGCAACAATGTCGCGACCCGAGTCGAACTTCTCGAATTCGACCATGACAGAGCCATGGAGACTCTTGGCCTGAGCGTACTCTTCTTCAAGTCGCTGGCACTTGGCAATGGCGCCGGACTGTACCAGCTCGTATCGGGCCTGTTCGACGTCGACGTCCAGTCCTGCGACACTGCTCTTCCCGCCGTTGGTGTTCACCTCCATCTTGGGCAGCTAAGAACACGAGAAGTCAGTCGTCGCTTCCAAGAGATCATGGATAGGCGAATCTCGTCTCTTTAAGCTAGCCGAGGGAATCAGAACACCAAAGTATGTACTTTACAGGTATCCATAGTACCAAGTCATTTCTGGAGTCACTAGCAGTCGAACTGTGACACGGGGTGTGGTTCATGATGAAGAATGGGAAAGGAAAGGAAAGAAATTGCAGCGTCGGGAAGGTGGGTTGGGAAGAATTGTAAAAAGTTGGGAAGAGATGGAAACTCAGAGGGCCAGGTGGGGCCGGTTTTTCTTACTGGTTTCATCGATCATCTGCGCGTCATCTAAAACCAGCTTCGAACTAACATTCCTCGGGTCTTCGGAAGGCAGCCGGACAGCAGGAGAGTCGGAATGTGTATGAGCAAGTCGGCGACTGCAGCATTGTCGCTATGATAACGCCGCGTGCCGACGACGGTGACCTCGGTGACAGTGACCGATTTAGCGACAGACTTAAAGTTGAGTCTTTCTTGAATAGTTAAGATATTGGCAGCATCGTGTCTTCGGCGCTGAAGTAGGAGAGGAAAGATATGCAAACAAAAGCTGGTTATTTGGCCGTAGCCCGAGATGTGGTTGGGCAGGGTAGGAATGGTATCAAAGTTGAGAAGCTTGGTAGCTTGGAGCTATTTGGGGCCTTGTAGGTTTAATGCTGAGTTGTTGGTTGTCTGCTGTGTAGGTGGAATTTCTACAGTTGGATTTCAGAAGGCTTGGTGTAGTGCCACTCGTTTAGAACGAGTGCGTTGTTGAGATAAGGCTTACAGGGGGTAAGCGAAGACATAGCCGAGAGCACAAAAGGTCCTGCACGACGTGTAAATCTCGTAGGATCAACGAAACTGACGGGTCGAGTAATCTTATGGACCAGGACTAAGCAAATAATGGGAGTCTAAAAGGGGGGTCAAGCTGCAGTGGGGATCAAGGGGTAAGCCTGAGGTGTCGGCGATTTGAACCTTCAAGTCATTTGTTGTGCTTTGAACAAAAACTGGTACTCTTCTACGGATGGGACGCTACCACCTGATGGTTTTGGAGGGAAAGATGAACTCTTCACCCGGTACCACTGCGACAAATGAATATGCACAACTCCTCGGGCCAAGGCATCTACTGCACAGCCTAAGCTCAACTACAAATTACTCTACTGCAATGAATCAAATAGATGTCACGACCAGCTTGCTTAACTAGGGCAAGGCTTCTGCACGAAGAACCTAAGATAATTATTCAACCTTTCTCCTGGACATGTTTGGATGGCAGGATAAGAGCGTTGCCGCCTCAGGCGACGAGAGTTGGAAGGGGTGCAGGCACCTCTGAGCAACATGGAACGCCCCTTCTGTTATCGCCTGAGGCGACGACCAGGTATACAAAGGTGGGGTCTGGGGGTTAACTGGGCTTACGGGGATTTAGGTCCCGCCACCTGTCAGCCCTGGGCTTACAAAGGCCGCAACCGTGAAGGTTAGGGGTTGATATGTCACATCAACAACACCTTGGCGATTGTAAAAGAATAACTGGGAGCTGTGACACCTGACCAGCGATGGTGACTTGCTGGTGATGCATGGCTACCTGCCATGAAAATTCAGTGATGGCTAACTTGAACGTGAATTATGACGACACAGCTCCAAAGTCACTGCAGATGCCATTGTCCCCTCTTTGACCACAGCGACATGAACATGCCACTGGATATCCACTCTGTCTAAGGCCACGCACTTCCAGTAGGTATGCTCCCTCACTAACTTTTCATCCCCTGTCCTCGAATCCCATTCCCTTTTTTCACAACATGGTCATATCCTCAGTCCGACACCAGCATGTACCTACTACGACTTCTTTTTCTTCCTTCTCCATTCATCCAACAGCCTTGGTATCCATCAATCCACTGTGCTTTGACGTGGTGTTCATTTGTTCATCTGTACCCCAGGGTGATGGAACAAATCCAGTCTGCCTGACACCTTCTTCAGGAGCCCTTCTACCAACCCCCGGTCGCTCTTCCAAGCTGTAGCCCTCGTAAGTCTTCACTACCATGTGCGCCTTCTCAAGCGCTATAGCCAGCGGCTCCCGTGTCCCATGAAACCGCCTCAAGGGATGGCTTATTCAGCTCCCATTGTCACCCGTGCTCTACCAATCTTGTTCCTCTATAACACTTGTACGCCAATACTGATCAACATAATTACCAGCACGAAGCGACCATGACGGAAGTCGCCACCCTCGAGTGACTCAAGTTCAACTTCCTCTGATCCAACGCAAAATCCAGGCGCAGGCGACCCCAGAAGTCACTGCCATCGAGAAGGAACATGAGCCTTCTAACACAGAACAGTGCGTTCCACTACCCCACGCACTGTGTAGTTCCCCATTTTCCAGCGTGAATTTCTCATCCACGAGAAAATTTCCACCTTGGAAGAGTCAACCCTAGCTTTTACCTACCCGATGCTTTCGGTGCTGATAGTAAGACCCTCCACGTCCACCTTACGTCTTTTCGTTCTTCGACCAGCACTAGTGCCACTTCGCGCCACCAGACTGGTATATCGCTTTCTTATCACTCATGAGTTGATTGACCTAATCCGTTATGCAAGTAGACTTGGCTACACCAGCTGAGTGGGCGACAAGGAGACTACTTCGACTTATCAAACCCGATATCAAAACCATCAGTTCCAATCCGATACTCACCTGCTTATCGACCGCTCACCATGGCGCCACCAACGCTGCAGTGACTGCGGTGCCACCATCAAGACCATCACCAACAGCCTGGGCTCCCACTACGACCACATCCACGGCCCGAATTCAAGCTATACCTTCAAGAGAGCACTTCTCCCGGTTCCTGAGTCTCCCGTTGAGAGAAACTGTCGGACGTGTTAGAAACTCGTTCCCCCATGCCTTCGAATGCTGGAAACCCTGTCTGCTCACTGGGAGGGATTGACTAGCTTCTCGATCCGCCCACTCGAACAGAGTTTGCAGGAAATCAGTAATGATCCAGCTTCGCACAGCTCTCCCGACAAGAACTCGGCTACCAAATCCAAAAGGCTATGAACTTCATCCGCCACTACAATTAGAAGCACAATTGTAACAACAAACCATTCATTTGGAACCGCCGGGTCCCACATGACCTTGAAAGGCATTTGGGAGTAGTGGTGAAAGGGGACTCAGACATAAAGTTTGAAGTCACCCAACGTTCCGGGAGATCCAACAGAAACGTGAAGAGCATACGAGATCCTGAAATCGAGGATGACTACGAAGCGGTCGATGAGAGAGTGACAAACGCCCCCAAGTACGTCGTTGCCAAAGAGAACTTCCACTTGCTGCCCCCTAACTTTATGTTTCATGATACTGCAGCTAATCCCACTTAGGACTGTTGGCTTCGGAAGACCTTTCGCCAGAACCTCACACTCTTCGGGTGAAGGTCCAGCGAAAGAACAACAAGGACCCGAACGGAGGCCGACACCCTTGCGTCCGACTTCCTCCGATCCAGCGAGATCCAGACATAGGCGAGCTTGGAAGTGAACAAGCTGGAGGGACTAGCCTGCCAGCATGGAAGCCCACGGGGACAGAAGATGAAGGCGAGACGTGAGCGATGACAACCAGCCACTCATTTGGAACAGCCGGGTCCTGCATGACCTTAAAAGGCATTTGGGAGTGGTGGTGTACTGCAGGTTCAGCCCGCTGAGCGTGAAGGCAACCTCGCTGACGCTCCTCCGCAGAAGAAGGCCATTGATACTGACAAGGTCCGTGGTACCGACAAGTCGGCTCATGCCGAGGACTCCAAGGCTGCGAAATTGCTTCAGGATGTGCTAGGTAGGACTCAACTCTCCGTTAAACGAGCACAGCAGCAAAAGAAGCAGAAGAAGCCCATCACTATGGCGCAAGAACAAGGATCTCCTCGCTCTGTTGAACAAGTGCAACAGCAAAAGAAGCAGAACGAGCCTAACACTATGGCGCAAGGATATAGATCCGCCAGCCAGCCTCGGTGCTGACCCTCGTGGCTCTGCTTTTTGCGTACCCTGTCGACGACATTTACTGGCGCCATGCCAGGTAAGCCTCTCTGCATTGCCCAAACCCCTTAAGTTTGACAGTTTTGTTTAACAACAAGCAAAGCAGTACCGACATATCGAGCCACAGCTGTCAGGGAACCTTGTCCCATAGCCGAAGTGCTATATTTAACTATCTTTGGTATTATTGTCGCTTTATTTGTGTATCATGTAAGGGAGAAAATCGACAAGATGGTGACCACCCGACCTGGCGAAAGCTCGAAGTCTGTATACGGCATCCTTACTCGAAGAGCCGTCCACCCGATCGCGAGCACCACTTGGTATATTGCGAATTCACTGCTCCGGTGTGCGACATGGATCGTGGACTTGATTCTGGTTCAATCTGTTGTTGCCTTTTCTTCGATGAGGTATCATATGGCAGCGGTGAGGATAGCCATGCCAAGTAATGAGCATAATAAGCACAATAATAACTGCTTATCCCATCAGGACGATACCGCAAAGTGATGTGAGCATTGCTTCGGTACCAAGTCTCGTGCTGCCCTGCAGGAGGCCAAGTCGCTCGCCATGATGAACTTCGCAGCAGCGGGCACAGCTGCGGCATCGAGGCGAGACCGCTACAACACCAAGCGGAAGGCTGCCCAGTACGAAGCTCTGAATCTCTCCTTCAAGTCGATTGCGCGCCTCAGCGACAATGAGAAGGCTAAGATGAACCTCCTCGATAACGCCTTCATCACTATACTGGGCAAACTCCTGGGACAGGAGCAGAACCCTGCTGCCGCCCTTGAGTGCCACCTGAAGCATGACGAAGAGAGGCCTACTACACATGGCCGTCGCACATGATGCACCTGAAGCTGGGCAAGGCGCGGTGTTCACGCCCAACACTTGCTGTAAGTTACCTGCATCTTCCTGCTGCCTCCACTCAGCCCACATAACTTTCTCCTCTCGTCGCAAAACACCATCATCCCTTGGACCACTCGGCTGGTGTACATCACTGACACCTCTTGTTCAGATTCTCTTTAGATTCTTCCCGCCACCAACATGGCACCCCGCCTACCTTCGATGGCTGTCCGAAGGACACAGTCATCTTTCATCAGGGACAGGATCGAGAAGGAAAGTCGTGCTCACCACTGAGAGCCGGAAAGATCAGCATGTCAGGCATTGGCGTCTGCACGCAGGCGAGTGAGTCAACGGAAGCAAATGCTACAACTACGACGAGAATGGCCACTTCTCTCCCGATTGCCCAAAGGAATCCTCCGGTGGTGAGAAGATCTGCTACTACCGACTGTGGCTATGGCGTCTTGGAGCCATTGTTGCCCGAACTCGGGAAGGTAGATGGTGTGATTTACCCTAAGCACCGCCAGCTCGTGCTTGTGAAGGGCAGCCTGGCAAGCTCGCGGCCTTTACAAGGAGAAATTCGGCTGAGAAGGGGAGCTCCTATTCTTACGGGAGGAGAAAGCGATGCTGTTCGAACAGTGCGTCCAGTGATTCGATACATTGGTCAAGACGACGTGTGCGTCTGGCCTGGTTGCAAGAATGCTCCGCAGCTGTGCCAGCACAACCCGAGCCGATCGATAATGTTCCCGCAAACTGTCGTCACTTCTAGCGTGGGCGTCGTGGCATAGCGGCTTCTTGCGCGGGCTTGCGACCTTGAAGAAGTACTTTCTGAAGATACAGACAGACGTACGACTTCAAGTTGGCCTGGTGACGCCGCACAAGCGTCATGAAGAGAATGGCGAGGCCGAGGACGACTATGCGCAGCTCTCTGTCAGCGAATGAGGCCATCTCTGTTGCCCATGTTGCAATGCTTTGGGTTGTCGGTGCTCAGAGCAGACGGCACAAGAGGTCGACGGATGTCTAGTACTTGAGTTCGTCACTTGGGACGGATATGTGAGAATTGAGCACCGGCATTTCAATACCGATCAATCATATGTGATTGATAGGGGTGCTGATGAAAGCAATACGACGACCCCGGTGCAATGACAAGGACTACACAGCCCTTCCAAGTCAGACCTTCTAAGTCGACAAGCATATGAAGAGATGTTCCACCAGCCATGGCTCCATCAAACAAGGGCCCTGCCCCCATTGACGATGGAGGCGAAAAGAAGAAGAAGACCAATGACAACCTGGTTGGAAATGTCTTCCAGAATGCCACCATCGCTGGAGCTGCCTCGGTAAGTACACACCAGATCGCAATCTGGGGTTGGTACCATCTGGACTGCTTGTCCTCTCACTTACGCTCTGAGGGCGACTTCTGAGCTTACGCAGAAAGCCTACATCAATCGTGGCTCCTAAGCAGGACAGAAAGAAGCGTGCTGCGCCCAGTGACCGGTCACCTGCGGAAGCATTTGCTTTCAAAAGGGTAGACGTCGGTCCTCCGAAAAGGAGAGGTATGCCGACTGGGCCTTTGGCTTTGAGTGTTGTCGCACGCACGATTGGAGGTGAGTGATACTGGGCGGCAGATTCATGACACAGAATTTCGCTGTCGATGCCAAGGAGGATGCCACTGACAACGACCAGGTCATCGTCAACCACCAACGACCTACCGAACTCTGCCAACGACACCAAGATGTCTGCCTCTCCTTGTAAGCGTCCCTCTGGTGTTAGCGACAAGCTTCAGCTTTATCGACAATTGCTGTTTCAATCACACGCAATCCCTCACCATATCTTCTTCCACTCTTCTCTACTCGCAAGCAAGCGAAACGTTGCTTCGTATTTCCCTGTTGCCTATGCTGAGCATCGGCGGTCGTCTTGATTCACAGAGTTAGACCCTACGTGTGCTAATTTATTCATTCAGCAGCCAACCCGTTCGCCGCGACCTGGGCCTTTCCTCCTTTTGTCCAGATGTTGTGGTTCTGGTCAATTTCCAGGCTTGAGCGGGCGTGCACATATTCTTGACCACTGATACCACCGATAAGGTTGCCTTCTCCTATTGCACAGCATCCAGTGCCTACTCAACTTATCATACCCGATATCGAGACCATCAGTTCCAATCCGATACTTATGTGCCTGTCGACCGCTTATCATGGCGTCATCAACGAAGGGATCTTGGTCCCTCGAAACCTACAAGTCCCTGGTCAAACCGAGATACTGACGACAGCCGCCTCGATAGCTCCACCCATGAGCCCGAATTTGACGAACTGGTGTCCATTTCGTACACTTTCAAGTGGGATCCCCGATTCGTCCCTCATATGCCGTACCTTTATTGATCAAGCGACCAAAGAGCGGTGGTGGAACCTTCGCATATAGAGAGAGAATCGGCATACCGCTGTTCTAGCCTGCCCACCAGGATAACGACAACACTAGGGTTCGTAATGAGACGGGTTGTGGCTTAGCAGGCTACTTAGGACCTGGCTTGGCGTCGATGACGAAGGCCTCTGGAGCGAAATCGACAGATACGTGTCTACTGACATAGTGTTCAGACCGCCATGGAACAGTTCATTGGCCTGAAAAAGGGCAGTTGACCATTTTCCAGGCTGTCACGCCGACCATCCCCCAGGCTGAAGACAAAGCGATGGTCGACTCTTCCTCTGCTACGCCCCTGCCAGCCCCGATGTCCGTACGCAACGGTCCAGTTGACAGTGGTGAATCTGCACTTATGGACGGCAACCAAAAGCGCAAATCTCGTTCTTCAATCAGTAATGTCAATTACCGGGAGTTGGACAATGACGAGGGACCATCTATATGTTCACCCCTGGCTCGATGACCAAGGAGAAACGCCACGGTCGTGCCCGTCGCGAGAACACCCTGAATATGACAAGAAAGAAGTAGAAGTCAATTTGCTCAAGGATGTGGCAGAGCCCGGCAAGCGGAGGACCAGGACCCTGCTGTCGTCCGCGACTACCACGTAAAGCATGCCAGAGAGCCCGACGGGAGCTGGGTCGATAAGAACTGTAAGCCTATTGACGAAATCTCCGTAAATAAATGACCAACTTATTGACAAATCTGATCAGATATTCTCCTTGAATTGATTTCAAGATCGATACCATCTCTCGATCTGCTGGGTTGGGACCATGAAGCCCCAAATCTGCACTTGGTCCCCGAATGCGGACAGCTTCTATGCGCGGAGCACCTCCTGAAGCGCGCTGAGGCGAGGTTGCGTCCAAGATACCTGTCGGGAAAGGGGGCAGCTCTCTTCCGGAGATTTGATGAGTGTTCACCCTGAGCTCGCTGCTCACCGAATCAACGACAACAACTGCCAGAGCGACACGAGGAAGCTCTTTGGTCATTCGCGTCTCAACAGAATGGCTACTCCCAAATCTGGCATCATGTTGCACGTCTCGTCTACCAGTCGCAAGAACAACAACAAGCAGACCGGTCCGAGCTCCCACAATGCTGACGCTACTATTCCCATTGACGAGAAGATGAATAAGTCTGCTGCTTCATCCCATACCGAATCTGGCATCAATGCCGTCAACGTCCCCAATGTCGCTAGTGAAGATACCGATACCGACTCGGACGAGGACATCCCTGACGCGCCCGAAGCGCCCAACGGAGCTCAAGTTCAATAACCATTCATTTGGAACAGCCGGGTCCTGCATGACCTTAAAAGGCATTTGTGAGTGGTGTTGACGCTGCCCCTTTAGTCACTGTCACGAGCCAGCCTGCGATTTTCGCCTGTCCTCTCCCCGTTGCACTCACTGCACCCGAGGGAGATTTTCTCCCTCTCTCCCACTCGCCTCGGCGTGAACTTTCCTTACCGTTCATCACCATCGCCTTTGGCCTTGAAGTCATCGACGGAATCTCTCTCCTCTTCTGCCCTAAGGAAGCAAGTGCTCCTGAAGGCGCCCCGTGAAGATGCCACCACTGGCAATGTAGCCGTAGCCAGGGAAGGTACACATGTACGGCATGGTGCTCGCGGTTTGGGCGCAGAATATGTGCTCGCCCAGGGCAGCCGAGGTCCCGAAAGCTCGGTTGCAGCCGCGGAAGCCGCTGCACTGCCGCCGGTGCTGGATCAAGTGCTGGCGGATTCCACGGCAGCCCGGGAAGGGAAACCGGCCCCGCGGATTGCGTGGTACAGAATCGTCTTGCCATCGTCGCTGGCGGTTCCGGCATAAGTTTGGCCGATGTTGGTTATCTTGAACGCCCGGAGCATCGGCTAGAGGCCGCCAATCATCGGTAATCTGCATGGTGATTTGCAATGCTGAGGGATCAGGTCCGGCGTTTTCTCTTTCGACACTTCCCCCCTTTTCTATCTACCTAGTCAACTACGACGTAGACTTCCTCATCGAACAGTAGATCACTCGCGCCACCCTCATCGAGGTGTTCGGCTTCAACTCGACTTCTCTCAGACGTACCGGTCCGCCAGGGACATTGCTAACTCCGGCTGCCGGCTTTCGCGCTGGCTCAGGCGCTTGGTGGGTGATTTGGGGCGCTAGCGCCTGGGCTTGTAGCTCAGTTGTATAATGGTCTCGAAGCAAGTCGATAGAATGTAATCTCTGACCGCCCGTGAGAAGGAATTGGGCGCGGGTATCGCGTCTGCGGCGGCTGTGGCGGATCGTCTAGCGTCCCGCTAGTACCCGATCTGGGCAAGCGAGAGGACGGCAGCCAATCACGGTCAGGCTGCATTATTGAGGATCCTTTGAGACAGTCGACTTGCTGACTGAAATCGAACGTTGGATAATTCCGCCGCTCTTTCCTGCCGGAGGCTCGCCAGCATGCCCCCCTTGCCCGTCGCCCTCGCGTCCCTCGTCGTGGTACTCGATATCGAGGTCTTCCTCGACCGTCACCCGGCACCCCTCGACGTCGGACCTCGTGGTTCGCCTATACCTGATGGTCGTGACGCGGCGCAGGGGCGAGCGACCGTGGCGCAAGGCGCTCGGGGCGAGGTTCGCGGGCGGGTGCGGAGCGAAGCGTTTGAAGCCAACCGAGCGATGCAGGTGATGATACCCAGGAGAAGATAAGGTGTAAGAACTGGTCAATCATGAGGTGGTCGGTAAGACGGCCAATGTCTGCCTCCCTTGATCTGTCCAAGCTGCATATTGTTAATGGGAAACCGCGTTGCGCTTGGCGCCGGCCTCGTCGACATAGTGGTTGTCGCAGCTGGGCCAAAGTTATGAACCACTGGTCGGGCCGGTCCCGTGTGCGCCGTGACAAATTGCTCGAACAGGCGCGCCTCGTCCCTCAGCAGCACCCTCGCCAGCACCAGCAACAGCACCAGCAACAGCACCCGCATCCTCATTCCTCACCCTTTTGCTTGCGTCAGAAAGCAAGCACAGTCTTCACCTTCTCCATTGCCGATCATTCGCAAGGCGCCGTGTTTGGTTCATCGCAGCATGAAAAGCACTCGTGTAACCGCGGAACTGGGGGTGCTCGATGCAGGCGATGAAGGTGATCCATGGATGGGTGGATGATGGGAGAAGAAGAGGAGAGATGGTACGAGGTGGTGCTGTTGGTGCTTTTTTCTGTTTTCTTGTTGATGTAGTTGTTGATCTGAACTTGGTGATCTTGTCCAGGCTGTTGATGATGGTGGATGATGGAGGCCCTAGGAAGCAGCCCGGTCCGCGCACGATCTGCAGCATCCCATTGACGTACGTGGTGAATCATCGCGGTGCGTGGTCCGAGGATGCGTATCCGGGCGTCACGGGTTGCCAACCTCTCATTTCATTCCCGGGCGTCACGGTCGATGTACTCGTACCACTTCCTTCCCCAGCCCCCTATGGTTCTCGCGTCCGGGACGTGCTCCTAGACGTGTTCCGGGACGCATCTCGGGACGAGTCCGGCGACATCAGCGGGTGCGGCGCTGGCTCGGCATGCGCAGGGGTACCCAAACACATCCCCGCGAAGGACGTCATCCTTGACCTTGTGCATTGCTCTTTCTACTGCTATGTGCTTCGGGGGATGATGGACTTCGTCGGCGGGTTGCCAACTTGGTTTGAGGAATTACCAACTTGTGGCAGCTGGCGAGGTATGGTATCCTTTGCATAGCTCGTAGAGGTGCGTTATAGCACCCTGAATATCCGTCGATAACCACATTCTGCGCAGGTATATCGGGCAGAGAACTCGGTTCTTGGGTTTTGGCAAACAGGGTTACGTTGCCATTTCCATTGGAACTCCACGTTTGAGGTGATGACCTCGCAGCACAGCTGGGCCTTTTGTTCGTGCTCGGGCAGCTTGCTCAGTATGATGTCTCGAACTGGGGTGTGGTCATCGAGCTTCTCCTTGACATGGATGATGACGACTTTCAAGCCACTCAGTGAACCCATATGTGGCCCCCCTTAAGCGTTGTAGGCATCGGCGTTGTAGGCTTTGACGTTGTAGGCTTTGACGTTGTAGGCCTCGTTGTTGTAGTCCCAGAACAAGGCAGCGAACTGCTGCTCCTCTAGGTGATCCTTCATGTCGGGCTTGGTCTGTCGGGGACCACGCACGTTTGCCGTCCGCATTTCCGATTCTCGTTCTCCTGCATGGCGTGCAGGATCATGGCTCTGACGACTGTAAAAGTGTCGTCATGAGCGTGACCACCATGAACATGACCCCCATTGCGCGCAACCTCCGCAGAATGATCCTATTCTCCTCGTGGCCGCTTAGCGCCGTGGGGGTTCTGCCAGTCCGCCTGATGCTGCTGGTTGCCGCCGAAGAAGGCCGGGTTGAAATGGGTTGATTGAAAGCCCATCATGCCCGGCATTCACATTGTGCCCATGCCTCCCATCATAGGGTTGTTCATGCCAGCGCCCATGGCCGGGTTCATGCCAGGGTTCATGCCATCACAGCATGGGAACCGTTCATTCCGTGCTGCTGTCCCTGGGTATCTCCAAAGAACGGGTCTGCCGATAGACCAGCAGTCCGACTAGTCGAAGTTTGGACAAATTCTTGACTTGAACCCAGATTCGAAGAAACTTCTGCGCACTTGGCAATGGCAACAAACTGAACGATCTCATATCGAGCCTGTTTAACGTCGACGTTTAGATCTGCGACACTGAAGACAACGAAAGCACCTGTTGTTGGGTTAGCTTTCGTAATACGCTCGAGACGTCAGAGATGGTGGAGAAGAGGTGATACTTACGGTTCGCTTTGACTTTCTCATTGCGACAAGCACGGCCCTCAATGAGCATCCCCTTTCCTTGCTTCTCTTCGACATCGGCATGCTCCTTTCGCTGTACTATAGGTAGTCAGTAGACTGACCAACACAGATCGCCTAGTGGTAGAACTGAGTCAACTGACAGTGAACTGGCAAAATGCGAAGGGCTGCCTTGAAGCAGCGGACCCTGAAGGGGCGGACCGTCAGCGGGAGCGGCAACGGGAGCCACGACATCAACCAATGACCAGGCGCAGATACGGGCGGCGTGCCTTGCACAGCTCGCGCTTTCCTGCCAGGCCGTTCGAGGCTTGACGAGGAAGAGAAAAGGAGGAAGTTGAAAGTCGGACGCAGCAGGGGGTCGCCTTCTTCTTCTTCTTGCTACCGTGGGCTTTGTATACCACAATTCTCAATGTCTTTTAAGGTCATGCAGGACTCGGCTGTTCCAAATGAATGGTTGGGTGTCTGTGGTATCTCGTGTAGGATGTTGTGACAGCATTGTACCAGGAAGCTGTAAACCCGTTGCGGGGATGAAGTTTTCCTACTTGGTTGCTTTGTCAGCAAGAGGGACGGGTTCCTCGACAATGCTGAACATATTGTCGGTGCCTGCGGTAGAGACGATGTCGGTGAGGGTGAGGGTGATTCTGTCGGTGGTATCGGTGGTGATCTTGTCGAAAATCACAAAAGAAACAGCAAGTTGTTCGGTCGTATACTGCTGCGAGGCTGGAAAGACAAGATCTCAGGACAGGCAAGCAGAGAAATAATCTTACAATTTGCTGTTATTCTAAGATCCAGAGACCTTCGCCCACTGTGTTCATCTTGTTGTGTCGACGCTTGGTCGCTTCATTCCATTGATAAAGCCAGCTCTGGGGGAATCTGACGAGAATGCGAGAGCAGATTGACCCAACAGAGGACCCGAAGCCTGTCGAAGCGAGATCAGCAGAAGCGAAGGCTGACGAAAATGGTCTTGAGCCGGGCGATGTCCAGGTAGTCGACGAGCTGGAAGAAATCGACCAGATTCGAAACGCCGATTCCAGATTCGCTGTCCCATTCAGAGCCTACCGAACCTAAGTATCAGCCACCGTTAAGATTACTCATGGTGAAATTCAGCTACTCACTCGCTTCCGAGTATGAATCGGGAGGGTTGCGAGCTCGAGCGTTGACCATCAGGACTAGTGGCTTTGTCGTCGCCGCGCTGCTCTCGCTTCTTCTTCTTCTTCTTGGCCTCCTCGGCGCAGTAGTCGAGGCATTTCTCTCGGCTGTCTGTCACATGGTGTTAGCACGCGAGGGATAAACGGGTTGGGGTGGAGTTACCGAAGGATGCTGGTAATCCAAGACGCTCGACGAAAGGAGTGAAGAGATTGGTGGCAGTGCTACCGTGGGGCTCCATGCTGGCGGTGGCCAGGCTCATGCGAGATTATGGCATGAAAGCAGCTCCAAGAGCGAAAGTGGAAGGAAAAGGAGGAAAAGGATGAAAAACTTCCAAGCCGAAGTATTCCAAGAGCAAAGATGTGCGTGGGTGACTCCAGAGAGATCAAAGCGGGAGAAGGGCAAAACCTCTTCTCGAATCCGACCATGACAGTGCCATGAAAATTCATGGAAAGATTGTATTCGTCTTCGAGTCGCTAGCGCTTGGAAATGGCACCGAACTGCATAAGCTCGTATCGAGCCTGTTCAACTTCGACGTCTAGTCCCGCGACACTGAAGACAACTCAGCTTTGGCAGCATGATATTTCAACAGCAAAAGCCTCGGCGCAGCTTCAACAAGGTTTCGATGCATGTGTTCGCTGTCCACCATCTTGTCTCCAATCCCGGATTCAAAACAGAAGGGGTGTCATAGACACGGGCGAAGATCCATGAAGATGTTGTTCAAGGACTTCCGCTCCCCTGAGCTTCCAATCGGAGTACCGACATGCCCTACTCGCGAGCCGCGTTTGTCTGTGTATCCGGGCATCACGGGTTGCCAACTTGGTTCTTGCCCACATCAGTGGCGTTCGACTCAGATGGTCCTCATAATCAACGATTGCACCGTGCTGTATAAGCAAATTGATGACACGATCATTGTTGTCTCTCGACGCTGCCAAGTGAAGGGGGTATGCACCCTGGAACTGCTCCACCGTGACGTTTGGGTCGAATCCCATGTCCAGCAGAGCGTCACGGGTTATTCCCTACTTGCCCTGGCGACTTTGGCGACTCTGGCGGCCTGGTGCCCCTGTTGTCATCATGTCCCTCACAGATGGACCTGTTGGTGAGCTTGTTGGTCAGCCCGCTGCCAGATGGCTGTCAGCCAACTTGGTTCTTCGCGGCATCACCGGTTGCCACCTCGGTTCATTCCGGGTGTCACGGGTTGCCAACTCGGTTCATCCCGGGCGTCACGGGTTGCCAACTTGGTGTTTCTCGTCCGAAGCGGTCTGGTCGATCACCCATGCGCCCGGAGAAGCGCTCTGCACCCTCATGACCAAAGCTCTTGCGGGGCTTCACAATGCTCCAACCGTCGCTATCTTCGCCGCCTTCGCCCCGACAACGGAAGTTGTTCCTGCCATCGCGATCGTCTTCACGAAAGCCGCGTCCACCCATCAGGTCTGCCATCTGAGCGTATAACTCGATCGGATCGTTCGAGTTTCTTTGGGTCCACGCAGTGATTCCTCGAGCGCATCCAGGATGGCATTGTGGGTATGCTTGGAGATGCGGACGACCGGGTGCGGCTCGTTTCTGTCTGAGGGTCACCGAGGGAGTTCGGCCGCTGACGCTCGCAGCGGGCGGTTAGCCAGAGGGCTAAGAATGGGACAGTGTTGGTGTTGGCATGGGGGATGGTCAGGAGGAGGAAGGGCTGCTGTTGCTGCTGGTTCTACTGCGACTGCTGGTCTCGGAAGAGTTTGCTCACGAATGCCAGTAGATGGGTGCGGACGGTGAACTGGTCTCCTGCGCCAGTCTGATGTGCTCCATGATCTGATCCTCGCTCTTGCGGACGGGGCGCATGCTGTATGCAGACTTTTGGCGTTCCCCAGCTCGGATGGTCACCATCTTGTTAATTTCCTCCCTTGCAGAGTATGCACAGAAGAGATGGTGATGGTGTTGAGCGTTGGATGGCGGTGATCGAGTGCCGTCGCTATCAGGGGGTCAGTCTGGGGTATTTGCGTAATATCCTGGAGCAAGCAATCGTGCCGGAAAGCAATTGGTGGCAAAGAGAGCCAGGGATGGTGCCTGTTTCGTTGGGAAAGGAGTATAGGGGTGGCTTACCTTATGCGAGGGACTTCGTCACGTTGCTTGTACGCAGGGGGGGCCATTGTCGACTATGGTAAGTCGAACGATAGTTCTTTGGGTAGGCCGTCTTCCTGGAGTGAGACTCGTCCAGTGATGTTGTCGAGAACCAGGTGGGCGAACAGCTGGCACAAGCCAGCGGCGGAGTCCAGGGCCTCGACGTGGACCCTCGGCGCAGAAGATGACCATTCGACCATAGAGGCTGTTACAAAAGCTGAGTGGTATTAGGAGAATACGTAGACGTATCTGTCGCATTGCTGGTAGTCTTGGTCCACCCGGTAGGAAAAGAGGTCGGGGCTTACTCTCATCAGTCTTCTGAAGACAGGTGGTCGACGATTGCAGCCTCTTCGACGGCACCGTATTCGATTCCGACGACGGTGACGTCGCTCGCAGTGTCGGAGCCGGCGACACTGCCAGCGTCGTCATCGGTGACGGGGCCCTCGTCGGAAGCTGCGACGGAGCTAGCAGCAGAGCCAGCTACCGAGTCATCCTCGTTGCCAGTCGCTGTTACCACGTTTATGGTTGCTGGTGTGGCTGCGTTTGAGATGCTAGATGGTTCTTGTCGAGGCGTCCACCACAGGTCTGTGGTTTTGTTCTTGACGAGTGTATCGCAATGCGGCCTCTGTCCATCGCATTTCTTGAACACTCGTCTCTTGCGGAAGTCCCCCTTCCACGGGGGCAGGAAAGGGGGTTTCTGCCAGTAGACTTCAGAAACCGTATCCGAGCTGATGTTCAACTCGGCGGTAACATCTGCATGGTCGGCGCTCTGGAACAAGTTACCTCCTCTAACTTCTCGAACACGGGCCAGGCATCCTGCTCGAGGATTCCAACTTAACCTTCAGTACCGAGATGTCTTTGCAGACACTCTTCCATATCCAGTTGCGGATCTCGAACCTGACCAGTGAGTCGACGCCGAACGAGCCATGCCTAGCTCGGGGACGACCTGCGGCATGGCGTTGAAGTAGATGGTGAACCACCGGGGGCGGGGGGGAAGAGCAGCGTTCATCTTGTCGTCCCACTTGCTGGATTTGGGCGCCATGGTTGCTGGATGAGACCGAGGGTGGACTGGGTGACAATTGGCTGAGGAATGCTGATGGAAGGAAGATGGAGGTGATGGTGAGAGGAAGATAGAAGTGACGAGGGTGCAAATAAGGAATTCTAACAAGGTGCAAATAACACAACTCATGATGTTCTGGGCGGCGTGGCAGCACTTGTAATCCCGGATCTGGGGACGATCGTTGTAGATTACCTACGTAGGTGATTCAAGCCATCTATGCGGTTGTTGGTTGGCGGATGGATGGATGGCTGGCAAGGTATGAAGGAGAGAAGAGACGGTCTGTGATGGTGCAGTTGGTACTCATGGCTGTTCTGATATTGATGTAGTGGACATTGTCTTGACAAGTATGCAGTACTTTTACATTAAGAAGATAATATATCTAATTGCCCGAGGCTTCTAGCTTATTAAGGTAGTTCCACATACCAACGCGTATAAAAAACGCGAAAACACACACTAAAGCGTGTTTTAGGTACCCAGCTGGAAAAGAAAAAAGAACAAAAAAAGAGGAAAACCTGGTACCGAGATTCGTAGCGCGGGGTCCTGGGCACGGAAATTGGTCACATTTATATCTCAAGGGGATAGATACCTGGGCGATGTGTTCTAGCGTCTGCAGAACACGGCCGGTAGGCTTGCAGTCTCCCCCCGCGAGACCCGGCAGTGTTCAACTGGGCAGAGCCACTCCCTAACAGCGTTGTGACTTAGCGATTCCAGGCGTTCACAGTGGTGTTAGGCCCCGCGGTTTTCATTGAACATTTGATCAAACTCTTTCTTCACTGCTCGTCTTCTTTCTTCCGTCGTCCCGCTGGGGACGTCGAATTCACTCCCACCTGGATTACTCTCGGTAAGCATCATCTCTCATCCATTCCATCTTCCCTGTCACCATACAGCTTCCTCGCCACATCTATCGCATGAAATCGTCGCCATTTCTTGAGCCTGGTCTCCGAGGAGTCTATTCCTGACCATACTTAATGCCAGACCCCTTTTCCAAAACAGACGGCCGTATGGCGCAATGGTCAAATGCGCCTGGTTGTGTTCTCGTTTGTGCGGTGGGCGACAAGAACAAGTGGGTTCGAATCCTGCTATGGCCCCCTTCTGACCCGGCTTGTGCGAGTCGACAACCAGCACACGATAGTGGAAAGGCCCCTTATCGCAGAGCCCGATAGCCAAACAGCTTGTCTTCATAACACCCATTCCTGTGAGGTTTTTCCCCTTGTGGTTTCCCTCACCAGTAGATAACAAACACCTATTTCACCCACCAATGCGACATATATCGAACGGCTACTGGAACGATGTGTACACCAGAGGACTGAGGTTCACTGGGTCACTTAGTCACTGGACAGGAAGTTTTTCTGACAGAATCGTGTTTGGGTATTGACTAAAACCATCTGGTCACTCCAGGTTGGTACCGCTACAGCGAGGATAGGCTCGTGCGCGGATCTGAATGTATTTAGACTGACACCTCTACAACCTTGCGATGCAATGGCTCTGGGAGGCGTGGTTTGCCCTATGGAGGGACTGCACCCACGATAAATACAATCAATCAATCAATCCAAAATGGACAGCGCGGCGGCGACTTAGACCGTGCCCGACTAGACTCATTGCCAGACCCCTTATTTTAACATGGAAGCGCGTCGACAACTTTGAACGTGCGTGACTGGACTTGTTGCCAGACCCCTTCTTTCGAAACAGAAGGCGCGTCGGCGACCTCGGCCAGTGCGTTGGCGGCTTTGACCAGCGCGTTGGCGACTTCAGCCAGCGTAGGTATCGTGGCATCCTAGCGAGTGATCAAAGCGGAATCCAAGACCTCTGAAGGAGGGAGGAATGGGTCGGGACTCGTTGGACACAACGGCCGAGACGAAACCCCTGAGTTGTCATCGCATGACCTTTCGAGACTTTCGACCAGTTGCTTGTATTGGCTGTAAGCGACTGCTACCGACGCCGAGACTGCCGATACCATCGATGTCACCGCTGGAGGCTCTTGTAAGCTCTGCCCCCTGTCTGGTTGCTTAGGATTGAGGTGCCCGCTAACATGTTTCGGCTTTGGATCAGGTACTGATGCTGATCAAAATACTCGTCACTTACGCTCTTAAAAGACGTGCCACGATGTCGATAACGCCGCAGTCTGTTCCCCAAGCGACAAGTACACCAAGCAGCAGACCCTTCAGCTGAAGTACGTTGACCAGTGGATCGAGTGGGTCGAAGTCCAGGAGGACCTTCTTCAATTCCTCGATACGCAAGAAAGAGCGTGAAGACGACGAATTCTGCTCTAGACCGCATTTGAGGGCGTTCATAGCTTAGGAGGTACCTACCACAAAATCGGGTTTCCAGAGGATGACTTTCGGCAACGTCTCCTACGTGGAGCAAATCGCATCGTACCTTGGGACGACGCCGACGACGCCGAGCACGGCACCGACGGTCAAGATGACGACCATACAGATGATGAAGATCAAGACCGCAGCAATACTGGGGACGAGTACCACACAGGCGACGAAGATCAAGACTGTACCGATGATGAGGGTTACGACCTTGCCAATGGTGGCAACGGTGATGATCGCGATGCCGGCCACGATCGTGATGCTGGTGGAGGAGCTGCCCATACCTTGCCCACGCCCAACGTAACTCTCAGTCCTAGTCGTCGGGCGAAGACCACCGCTACCGCCTGATAAGTTACCGTGTGCTCAAGCTCGGCAGGTATTACTTCGGCGACAGCGTCAGAACAACACAGTCAGACAAAATGCGTCGTAGCGACCAGACCCTTGTTGAATATTTTCTCTCGCAGACCGAGACCATGTCAAGGCAGTGGAAGCAGCCGATGGAGAAGGCACCGCAGTCATTCGAGGACCAGCTAAACTAGCTAGAAGCCGGCTCCGACAACAGCATCTGGCTGAGGATGGTACCTTTGCGGTCAACTCCCAATACCCCATGGAGAACGAGACCATGTCAAGGTAGTGGCATCAGGCTCAACACGAGCGCGCACAAGAAATTTCTAGATCTGTTCGTCAGACAGAATGAACCATGCCTGGGACACATTGCACCGAGCATAAGGCGAGAGAGGGTATCGGATCGCTGCGTGCTGCAGTGACCGGAGGAAGGGGGATGGAAACCGTCCATCGAAGTGGTTGTTCTTGAGTGGCCGGAAAGATATCTTCGATTCCCCGCTGCGGTGAGGCATTGATCCCTCTAGGTGTTGAATGGCGCGCAAGCCACCGTGGCGTTTAGGGAGGTGGCAATGCACCGAACAAGGCCAACAGGGCATTTTGGGGCCACCTTTGCGTCTCGAGAAATTGCCAAATTGAAGTCACACGGGGACAAGAAGAAGACGAGAGGCGACAGAGGGCCACTGGCTCCGGCTTCTGCTCCGGCGAGAAGCCGGAGCCGGCCTTACCGCCTACGGCACCTTCGCAGAGAATATGCCGGCCATGCCGATGGTCCCTCAATTCCACCGTGTTGGTGACGAGGGCGGCTGTGATGACAGTGACGAGGGCAAGAACAAAAAAAATGCGACGAAGAATACAATGAGTTCAGCTTTTGGTATTCTCCCCAGGCATACATCGCGAGTTTATTTCCCCGCGTCCGTCTGCCGGTCCAGCCAGCCGACCAGAGGTCCACCTGAAGATAAGCACCCCTACTTTGGCAAACTCTAGCCAGGGCGCCTCTCAGCCCGAGAGCAAATTCGCTTCTCCTCTTCGCAGTTCCGCACCATTCCCAAAGCAGATCTTCTCTGCACGACATCGTGCCCCTTAGTGCGGACATTTCTGTTGTCTTGGACTTCTACCGACATCGTTCTCTTCACTGTGGTGCGCTTCGGCATACTTTGGTATGCCGAACGCTGCCGATGGCCTTCCAGTGGCGGTGGGAGCACAACCTTGTCTTCTGAAACCCAAGAACAGAGTTCTCTGCTCGGTACAACAAGGTGGACAACGACCAGCAGGCAAGCGAGGATCATGGTTCCTCAACTTCTAGTGGGCCACGAGGGAAGACACAAAGATGAAATTCATCAAGAGGGTAACGAGGAGTAAGATTCGCGAGAAATACCGAAGAGAGATCACAGCTCGGACAAGACATAAAACGGTACTCCGTCCAAGACTACGAGAGTCGTGGCGATCAACTTATAACTTCTTATGAACCAAGAGCTGCTGTGGGCAGTCTTGATCATGCCACCTGCCAGGGCCCACAACAATCTTCTCCCGAGGACTGTGTTTCTCGATTTTGGCGATGAGCCACACCCTGACAAGGCATATCGAGGATACGCGATCGGTAGCCCTCTTTCCTCCATCGCCGCACAACCTTACTTCTTCTCCCTTATTCAATCGCCGACTCAACTCGAGTACTACTGCCGATTCCTTGATCGCCGACACGATCTACACCCTCCTCAAGTCAAGACCTACGACCAAGACAGAATCCATTCATTTGGAATAGCCGGGTCCAGCATGACCTTAAAATACAATTTCAAGGGGTGGTATAGAGGCGCAAATTCTCACGGCATGATGATTGGCACGATGGTGTCAAAGCTGCTGCTCGACAAGGGCGCGGACCCTACCGTGTCCAACGCCTTCGGCATGCAGCCTGGTCGTGTGGCAGATGAAGATCCGGCCAACGGCCGCGGCCGTGTTCTGCGTGTCGAGGGCCCTGAACACATAGTCACTCAGGCCAATTTGGAAGTCTTCTGGGGCCAATCCATGTATTAGGACGTCGACACCGTTCTTGACATCGGTGACATCGGGGGAGGACGAGCCGTAGTATGGTATGACCTTGGGGGCAGCCGATGCAGCAGGCGCCCCAGGTTCTCCGACAAGATCCCAGCCTACTACAACAAAGCCTCTCCGCTCAACGCCAACATCCAGTATATGTCGTCGGCACCACGACGAAAGTAGTATCTCCACCTGCTTTGCGTTTTCCGTTCGTGATACCGTCGCCGTCGCGAGGTCTTCACCGGCCCGCTGATGGCCAAGCAGGTCTGGGAGTCTACGGAACCGCAGGGCGGCTACAACTGGGAGGAGATTGAGGAGAACGAGGAGTACTCCGAATAAGCAGATCTTAGGACGGCCGAGGGCACGAATAATTCTGACGATCAATGGCAAGATCTACGGTGCGCAGTAAGTTCAATCCCATTCAATGTTTCCCGATCTGAGCAGTTACTAAGAGGTCCCTAGTGTGAGAGATCTGGACACCGAATCGCCTCGTACGTGGAGGTTGGGACAGGAATACCACATCGCTCACCAGGGAGTGCGCAGCCTTCGACGATAACTATCCGCATGTTCGGAAATACTAGAGGCGATCAAGTTCATGCCTGCTCAGGCTGATTCCTTCAGTACTGGACGGATCTTCTGATGGTTGATAGCGTCGACGGGGTACCTTCATCTTGTCGATAGGAGGCAGTTGCCTAGGCATGCTTTGCCATGAAGGCTGACAGTCGTTGATAGCAGGCGGCGCACTTTCATCGCACTCTCGTTGGCCCGGTGCATCGAGGCGCTCGTGCGCATCGTGCGCCTCGTCGACGACCGCAACTGCATCATGGTCGCGCGCACACTGCAACATATACTCGACGCGCTCGAAACCTGAGCGCCAACGGCTGCCACGAGCACGAGTACGAAGAGGACGACTCGGAGGACGACGAAGATGATGATGCTGATATGTGTGCGGACGAGATGGTGGGACCTGATTGGAACGGTCATCCCGACGCTGAGTGGAGATGGGCAAGCTTGGGCTTCAGCATGAGCATTTGCTTCAGCAGGCTGGGCCCGGTCACCTGTCTGTTGATTTGATCTGTCACCAAGCTGATCCAAGCCAAGGTGAACTTCAGAACCAAGGATATCCACGGCGCAACGGCTCTACACTATGCATCCGGCCGACAATGCGGCATTATCGCCGTGGAGGCACTGCTGAAGGCCGGCGCCAACTACAAGGCCAAAGACGACCACGGCGTAACGCCCCTGATGAACGCCTGTCGCGATTCTACAATCAGCTCGACGCACTATGCACGATGCACAGAGACATCGATGGTTCGGTCTCCTGATCATTCTATCTCCACCTGCCTGTAGAAGGGTTTGAAAACATCCCACTCGGTACACAGAGTTCTACTGCCAGACCACATGGCGGCGCTTAGCTCGTCATCCATGGCAAGACCCTAGCCACAATTCCGCCAGAAACCCGGACGACACTGGGGACAACACAGGCGAGCCGATGCAGAACAACCTGGAGCAGTTCCGCCTTCGGACCAATGACATTGGAACCGGAAGCTCCTTCAAAAGCACGAAGAGCTGACGCCTTTACGTCAGACAACCGGCACACGCGCATGGCCGCATGAGAGCGCTGATTTCACCTCCCATTCCTTGCCTTGAGACCAAGGAATGCGACTACTCGATCGAGAAGGGTAACAACTGGCTCCGCCACTTGCGTGAGAAGTACGAGCACAGGGGTTCTGCGCTGCCTCTGTTCAAGAACTACGGTTGGTATGGGACTGTTATGGACTCTGATCGGTCATGAGACATTTCGACTTGCTGGCTTGCAGGTTGCACATCAACCGATCTGCGACGACAGATGACGGACTATAACAGGAGCCTCCTCGCCCGCGCCTGGGGTGGTAACGCCGACCCCGAACCCCTGCCAGCACGAGCCTGCCGGCGACGGCGCGCCGAGCACCCCACGGAATGGCTACTGTTCATCAACTGTCCCAAGAACCTCCCTGGCAATGACCCATTGCGCAAGTTGTTCCAGAGCCCTGTCGCCCGTGCCAGGGTCGGCTTCTCCTTGCTCGATCTGAAGTGGGGATTTTTTTTTGAGGAAGGTGGCGAGGGCGACCAGTTGGGCGATGAGCGACTGTTTGTCGTAGTCAAGGGAACGTGTAGGGGGGAGTGGAGTGATCACGATGAGAACAACCATGCGAACGGGAAACAGAATGGCAACTTCACCCACGAACCCTACACCCTTCCAACCTCAGGCCCAGCATGGGGCTCCCTACCAGCTGTATAATGCGAGCGAGGGGCCATACACCAATGCCTACCATGAGCCCAACCTGGATGATGAAGGGATTGAACAACACAACGGGCCAAACGGTGGTATTGTCAGGTCCAGCATGACCTTAAAAGGCATTGGAGTTGTAGTTCGAAAGGCAATTTTGTATATATCTTCCTCCTTGCTCAATCTGATGTGGGAATTCTCTTTGGAGAAAGGTGGTGTTGAATGGCGCGCAAGCCACAGTGGCGTTCAGGGAGGTGGCAGTGCACTAACAGGGCCAATAGGGCATTTTCGGACCACCTAGGGGGGAAAAGGAATGACCGTCCACTATGAGAAGAAGCGACCGCTACAACACCAACCGCAAGAATGCGGAGCTTGAAGCTATAAAGCTATGCATCAAGGACTTCAAGCGTTTTATGCCGGCTGGAAAGAGCGGAAGAAACACTCAGAACCTTCGAGTTCCGGCAGCAGGTCGGCTGCCTCGATGCCGACCACATTCTCCGGTGGGTGAACGTCTGCCAGGCGTTCACCGACTTCGCTAGACGCTCCGGTCCCCCCACCTTTGCGCGACTCGGTAACGACAAGTTCATCACCATCGGGTCCAGCATGACCTTAAAAGGCATTTGAGTAGTACTTGAAAAAACAACCTTGTATACATATTGCGTGGTGAGATTCGTCATGTTTGCAAAGAAATAGTAGAGTGTTTGTTTGTTTGTTTGTTTTGTATTTAACGTGGGGGGTAGCTCCTCAGTAGTGCAAACCACGCCTCCCAGAGCCTCTGTATCGCAGGGTTGTGGAGGTCTTAAGATAATAAGTACAGTCAGTCCCGCTCACGAGCCCATCCCCGTTGTTGCGGCGGTATGACCTTGGGGTCATCCATCTGGTCCTTCAAGAAAAGCTATCTATCGGGGGCAGATTGTTGAAAAGAACTTGCTCTTTTCTACGAATTTTGCCCATTCTGTGCTCCTCTCTCCTAAGTACTATAAACAAGCTGTCCTAGGCGAGTACCTAGACAGTAGCCGGTTTTTCCCCAGCCTTTTACAAAAGAAAATGTGTTGTGGTGTTTTCTTCTCACCATAGCTGCAGTGATCATTCGAGTCTGTATGCCCAAAGCGTTCATGGTATCTGGCAGAGTCGCCATGTCCAGATCTGGCTGCTAGAAGTCTGTGTAAAGTACTCCTCTTAAAAGATATAAGGTCTCTTTCAGTTACTGCATGTGAGTATACTTCTTGATACCTAGGTTCTAATTGGTCTTTTTACCATTGATTGAACTCTTTTTTGTCCTTTTTTTTTGAGATCTCTCTTGACCCATGAGATTGTGGGAAGGTTTGTCGTGTCTGTTTCTAGCATGGCACCCTCTTTTGTTAGTGTCTCGGCAGCTTTGTTACCATCAATATCTCTGTGTCCAGGAATCCACTTGACGGTCACTCCAGGAGTGTGTGCCATGGTAAGTTCTTGGAATCGTAGAAAAATGTTCTGTGATGTCTCGGGTGGAGTCCCAGAAATAGTAGAGTCTTTAGTGATGGGCCTGATCATACCAGTCAAGATCCGAGTGGTACGCGACCTACAAGAAGATGTCAGAAGGCGAACCATATAGGGGGGTAAAGATGTATGTTGTTCTGCAGAGGGCTACAATACTAATCAGGCCTGGAGGCCATGTATATGTACATGTATGATTCCTTTGTTCCCAGGATATGCTTCCTGACAGAAGAGCAACAACCTCGAGCTCCCCCTGCCCCTGGGCTCCGACTGTCCCGCAGCCCTGATCTGACCACAGAGCAGAAAGTTGCAGTTGTCCTTCGTTTAGCTCTATATACGAGCCAATATACGACCATAGTTGTTCGAGAGCTTCAAGGTGCAGCCCTTCAGACTGACGGTGTTCCTTCGACTAACGCTACTCCCAGGCCATCCTGTGGGTCGACTTCGCCTACCTCTTCGTCCTCGCTGCGATGAGATGGTTCAGCTGTCAATACAACCAGCCCTTGCGTTTTCTGTTCTTGGGAGTATGTACTTATGTATCTAATGTAGATTGATATGAGAAAAGACGAGACGAGTTTCACCTGTCTTTCTTGTTACCCATACGGTAAGAGGCGCCTTTATGTATTAGATGCCTTTTGTGATCCTGAGGATCAAAGAAGATAGCAATGAATATTATTTACACTGCTGTTACAATTCACACCATCGTTGGGTAAACTGGTTGTCATTATATGGGTTGAATGAAGTTATCTTGAATGTCTAGGGCGTGAATCGGCCGTTGACCTGGCCGTTATGAACGCCGCGGGGTAACAGTACCTGTAGATGCACCCAACACCCATCTAAAGGTACCTAATGTCCGTCTAACCAGCTTATATCTAGCTGTTAACCTGGCTGTTAATTCCAGGCCCTAGGGTCACGTGGTACCCCGCACGCCAGTCAGCGTTGTGCACGCCGAAAATTTGTAAGAAGAATTAATTTCAGGAAAACGTCCCGGAATGAGGGATCCAATTCTATTACCTGATTGGGCAGTCCTGATTACAGCAGCACAATTTCCTCGCCGCCTGAGGCGCCCACACACCTTGATTAAACCAACCAGGCCGCTGCGAAGCACCAACGCCGCCTACCAGCAATCGACTTATCTTATTATTAAGCTCTTCGACCTTCAATCAGTACGCAACATGGACTGAGATCAAGGCAGCCATTTGTGGTATCACCGACCATCTCTGGGCCTCTCTGTCTGATGTCGAGGATGACGATGACAAGAACGATGATGCTAACTTTGACGCCGTCGATGACGCAGTAAGTGTATCTGACTCGATTCCACCGGTACCAGGCTAATAGGCAGGCAATAAGATCATACGAAGGATCAGTTAGCTGACCTGGGCCCCCTTCGCCGGGGGCTCAGATAAAAACGAGGGCGTACATCATAGTGAGCCTTTATATGACCCGCAGGCCCTGGATGAGGGGCCGAGTCTAGAGACATCGCGTCAATCTATCGTAACGGAGCTTCGCGTAGAAGATAACGAAGGCAAGTGGGTGTTGGCGCCCAGGCCGAGCTGGAAATGGAGAAGCCACGACTCCTCTATGTTTCCAAGGTCTCAACTAACCTCTTCGTGTTGGCAGCACTCGCTTCATCTCTAGCATCGTTGAGCCTTGCCCACCTGACTCATTTCACACTCGACTACCCCCAGGGCTACGTGTCCAACCATGACTTCGCTCATGGATCACGATGTCAGGGCAAGGTCGCCAGAGATCGCTTCTGTCAGATCTCGAAGAACGGCTGGCTCGCAGGCACCAAGGCAGGAGGCGGCAGCGTGCCCTTCACCCCCGGCAAGAACCGCTGGTCCGCAGCCAAGAAGGCTTCTGAAAACGCCAGCCATGGCTGCAGTGACAGCAGGAAATCAGTCGGGGCCAGGTACGCATACCCTTGTTGACCAGTGCTCCAGGTATAGGTCATGTAAGGCTCCATAGATGCAGGCTAGAGCTGACCACTTAGTGTATCAGTGCAACCTCCCCAGGCTTGGACAGGGCAAACTCCCCAGGCCCCAAGCCTTTTGCCCTCCCTCCTTCCACGCGACCCCAGAGCGACGGTCTGTTCTCCACTTGTTCGCAGAAGCTGCCCCGGTGCGCTCCAGGGCGAGGAAGTTGTCCGAGAACTCCAGAACATGGAGAGGTCCTCGACGGCGACCGATGAGCGACTCTACGTCGCAGTTGAGTAGATGGAAAAAGGGGAAGTGGATGACCACGACGAGCAAACGATTGCAGGGGGAGCTGAAGGAATCAGTAACTGACGAGACACTATTCTGTGGACAAAAGAGCGGCGGGGCGCTGAAACGAGATGGAATGGAATGGAATGTTTGTTTGTTTTGTATTTAACGTGGGGGTAGCTCCTCAGTAGTGCAAACCACGCCTCCCAGAGCCTCTGCATCGCAGGGTTGTGGAGGTCTCAAGATAATAAGTACAGTCAGTCCCGCTCACGGGCCCATCCCCGTTGTTGCGGCGGTATGACCTTGGGGTCATCCATCTGGTCCTTCAAGGAAGGCTATCTATCGGGGGCAGATTGTTGAAAAGAACTTGCTCTTCTCCACGAATTTTGCCCATTCTGTGCTCCTCTCCTCTAAGTATTGTAAACAAGCTGCCCTAGGCGAATGCCTAGGTAGTAGCCGATTTTTCCCCAGCCTCTTACAAAAGAAAATGTGTTGTGGTGTTTTCTTCTCACCACAGCTGCAGTGATCATTTGAATCTGTGTGCCCAAAGCGTTCATGGTATCTGGCAAAGTCGCCATGTCCAGATCTGGCCGCTAGAAGTCTGTGTAAAGTACTCCTCTTAAAAGATATAAGGTCTCTTTCAGTTACTGCATGTGAGTATACTTCTTGATACCTAGATTCTGATTGGTCTTTCCACCATTGGTTGAACTCTTTCTTGCCCTGTCTTTTGAGATCTCTCTTGACCCAAGAGATTGTAGGAAGATTTATTGTGTCTGTTTCCAGCATGGCACCCTCTTTTGCTAGTGTGTCGGCAGCTTCGTTGCCATCAATATCTCTGTGTCCAGGAATCCATTTGACGGTCACTCCAGGAGTGTGTGCTGTGGCAAGTTCTTGAAATCGTAGAAAAATGTTTTGTGATGTCTCGGGTGGAGTCCCATTGAGCCCATCTACCACTGACGTGTTGTCCAGGCAGACATATAGCTGTTTTCCGTGTCCAATTGCCCTGGCTGCTGCAAGACCTTGGAGAGCACCATGGACTTCAGCATCTACTACTTCTGCTTGTAGAAGTCTGCCCCTTCCCCGGTATACTTCTTGTGTAGTGCCGCCTTTCCTGATGGTATAACCCCATCCAGTGCGGATTGTGCCTTGGTCATCCAACTGTGATCCATCTGAGTAGATGACAAGGTCAGTGTTCACGTTTCTCTCTTGTAACCATTGCTTGAAGAGCTCTGTTTCTTTGTCTTTGTCTTTGCGGATTGGGCGCTTCCTCCATGATGGCCTGGTAAGTATTGGTCTCTGGAAGTCAGGGACTAGCTGGAAGCTTCTTTGTAG